ACATGTGAACGTGCTTTCAGTTAACGGTACATGGGGCGGCTTTAACACAGGTGACCTCTCTCATTTCAGAGAACTCAGGTGCCTGCATCCATTGAGTCTCAAAAACCCAGGCCAAGAAAAGGTTTGTATGCAATTTCAATTTCATTTATATATATACACACACACACACACATAATATAAATATATATATATATACACACACATATAAATATATATAAAATATATATATATATACCCTTGTCTCATACATACCGGAGCTTTGTAAAGTGTGTTAGGAAAAGCAGTATCTGTTACCTCATAATAACCAGGTGATTGGTAGGGTTAGTATATGCTGTGATTGTCATTCTAGTATGTATTTTATCCTTCCTGTAGAGTCATACTGTATGGATCAGTTGACTCCTGGCCTAGAAGAAGACTATATATCAACCAAGAATTCGTCCAAGGGCCAGCAAGATGCCTTAGTGGGCTAAGGCACTTGTTGCTGAGCCTGATGATCCAAATTCAATTCCTAGGACGTGGTCAAAGGAGAGAACCAACTTCTCCAAGTTGTCCTATGACTTCTACATGTGTGCTGTGGTACACATGGAAAGCCACAAAATAAACAAATAAATACAATTGAGTAAACAAGATATTCACATAAATTTCCAAATTCCATAAAGAATTTAATGTGCTGTTGTAATTGCTTATGGTTGGCTTACATATGAGGACAGATTGTGTTCTTTGTTTTGTTCAAATACGCTTTCTAGCTCCAGAGTTTCCGATTGTGGAAAAACAGAACTGGCTGATCCATCTTCACTATATTCGGAAGGATTATGAAGCGTGCAAGGTGAGAGACTGCAACGATAGAGGGAAGGGGAGACAGATTGGGTAGACACTAGCAGTGTCTGTAGCACTGTGTGGCAGTTAATACTGTGAATTTGCACCCTCCACCTGCCTGCTTTAGACTTCATTAATTTAAATAATAGTTTATCTGTCAACCTTGACTTTAATTTTGTTTCTTCAAAGTGTGTTTCTATTTAGCAAATAGCACCATGTTCCTTCCCACTTATTTTCAGGATTTTTCTCACTACTCTTAAACCCTTTAGTATGACATTCAGTCCTCATCTCTCCAACCCTCTTGTTTACCTCAGCATCTTCCACCCTTTGCCAACACACAGTTGGAAGCTTTTCACTTTGGGAAGCTTTCCTTAATTCTCTGATGTAGAACCAGATGCTACCTTTTCAGTGAAAGTACCTACGCCCAGCCCATCACAGTATAGAGCCCGTGTGGTTTCCTCTAGGAGAACCCCTAGTGTCTGTAGTGGTGCTTGGAGATCTTCCCATGTTGTTCTGGCTTGTCTAGTTGACTCTCAAACAGGAGCTGAGAACATTTTCTCTGTCGTGGACCAGACAGTAGTTTATTTTTTTGAGATAGGGTCTCACTCTTTATCTCTGGCTGGCCCAACTCTGAGACATCTGACTGCATCTAACTGTGTCCTCTCTGCCTGGCCAAGACAGTGGTTTAGACTTCAGGATCACTGTAGCCATTTTCTCATATTTGTCTTCAGTATTCTGTTTTTGTTTAAACAGGGTTTCATGGAGCCCAGGTTAGCCCCAGACTCACTAGGTAGTAGGGAATGACCTTGGATTTCTGATCTTCTTGTCTCTACCTCTTGAGTGCTGGAATCGTAGGCTCATACCACAATGCATGGTTTATTTTTTTTAAATAATGAAAAATATAAAACTTACGCTGGGTGTGGTGACACACACCTGTAATCCCAGCACTTGGGTGGCAGAGGCAGGCGGATTTCTGTGAGTTCAAGAGCAGTCTAGAAAGCGAGTCCAGGACAGCCAAGGCTACACAGAGAAACCTTGTCTCAAAAAATTAAAATTTATGAATATGGGTGTTTGCCTCCATGTATGTCTGTGCACCACATCAAGCAGTGCTCTAGGAGGCCAGAAGAGGGCATCAGATTCTCTTGGACTGGAGTTACAGAAAATTGTGAGCTGCCATGTGGGTGCTGATAATCAAACCCTTATCTTTTGGAAGAGCAGGTTGTTGTTGTTGAGACAGGGTTTCTCTGTAATCCTGGCTGTCCTGGAACTAGCCCTGTAGACAGGCTGGCCTCAAACTCACAGAGATCTGCCTGTCTTTGCCTTCTGAGTGCTGGGATTAAAGGCCTGTGTCACCATTCCCATTCAGTATTCTAAATGAGAGATGTACATACAGAAATACCCTGAGAGCCCTTAGAGCCCTTAGATTGCTAACCTCATTAGTAACAACTCATAAGTAATCTCAAGAGTTGAGATGAAAACAAAAATTTTAAAGAAACTACCGTATTAGTCATTATCAGGGTCCTAGGTATGCCCCTTGCCTGTTTCTGCTGTTTTCTTGGTAACACTTAACCAACACTTAACTTAGGTGTTCTCTTTTAGGCTGTGATAAAAGAACAGCTTCAGGAGACTCAGGGCTTATGTGAATATGCTATCTATGTCCAAGGTAAGATATATGGTTTCTTTCCTTACTGGAAAAATATGTTTAACCTAGATCTTGGAAAACCAACCAACCAAACAACTTAGGGAATACTTAAGTTTAAATAATGTCTCACAAAAATCTTGTTCACTGTCCTATGAAATTTGAACACAGCTCTGTTTGTGTGTTGCATATATATCTGGAGACCGGTGCTTGACATTGGGTGAACATATTTTTTAATATATTTTAAATTATTATTTAACATGTATGAGTGTTTTGCATGCATGTATGTCTGTGTACTGTGTGAATGCCTGGTGCCTGTGGAGGCCAGTAGAGCAGTGAATGCCCTGGAACTGGAGTATAGACAGTTGTGAGCTGATCTATGGATACTGAGAACTGAACCCCAGTCTCCTTTCAAGAGCAGCAAATGCCGTTAACAAATTGAGCTATTTCCAGCCCTTCAAATCATTATTATTGTTTCTCAAGACAGGGGTTCTCTGTTCTCTGTGTGTCCTTGGCTGTTGTGGACTCACTTTATAGACCCCGCTGGCTTCGAACTCACAGAGATCTGCCTGCCTCTGCCTCCCCAAGTGTTGGGATTACAAGCATGCACTACCACGCCCAGCAACAAAATATTATTCTTATGAAGAATTTCTGTGATCTGCAAACGACCAGTTATCTAGGTATAGATGCTAGGGCCATATAGGTAGGTCTAAGTTAGCTTATTACAGGTTTTCCCTTACTAACATTTTGCTTGCTACCCATTTGGTGGTGACTGAATGGATTAAAGAGTTATCCAGAGGCTTTCTCTGATCTTATCTCCTCCGGTTTTTCTGATGCCATCCTCTACTTCCAAAAATATGGCTTATTTTTTTATTTTATTTTTTTTTTTGTATTTTCTATTACTTGGCAGCACTGATTTTCCGCCTGGAAGGAAATATCCAAGAATCCCTAGAACTCTTTCAGACGTGTGCTGTTCTCAGCCCTCAGTGTGCTGATAATCTCAAGCAGGTGGCCAGATCTTTGTGAGTACTGGAGCATTTATAGAAGACCACATAAAATGCTTTCTCTTGAAGTGCATTTTGGGGAAAGCCTGTTGCTGGCAGCCAGATGTCTGATAAGTAGGACAGTGAGTAATAAGTGCAGTGGGCTTCATCTTGAAGAGCATGGATGAATCTGGAAGTCAGCTAGTGTTAAGGACCTCAGGACCTTCTAGTTGGATGAGAATACTGTTTATCACAGTGTACTGTACTGTAACTCATCTATAATCAAGTGGGCAACTCATAGCCTATTGCTCTATTGGTATTTGGAATATTTGGCATACAGTAAGCTTGTGTATTTTGGGTGACTGGCCTGTGCATCCCTAAACGGAGACACTTCTAGAGTCTTCATAGACTTTTTCAGAGTCTAGTGCTCTGTGCAGCGCCATCCCCATGTTCCTCCCTGCATTGTACCACTTTCATATAAAACCCAGTTCTCTCTCTCTATTTTTTTTCTCTCTCTCTTCCTTTAAATTCATGATCAAGGAAAGAAACTTAGATTCAGGAGGAAAAAGAATATGCATTTATTGGATGATGTTGATAAATGATGGCAGCTCATGCTTAATGGCTTATCACTTGAAAGAATGCCATTAAAATTGGTATGTGATGAGACTGAGGCCTTAGAACAACTGCTGATGCAAGCCCTGCCTCAAGAACTTCTGCTTTGGGGTGCACTGGTGTCCCTTGCCTTTCCCACACAACCAGCTCAACTTTTTAATAAAAAGCTTCTATAATTTGTTTTTTAAGAGACAGGGTTTCTCTGTGTAGCCTTGGCTGTCTTGGACTCACTTTATAGACCAGGCTGGCCTTGAACTCACAGAGATTCACCTGCTTCTTCCTCCCTGAGTGCTGGGATTGCAGGCATGCGCCACCACACCCGGCTTGGTTCTATAATTTTTAGCTCTGTGGAATATGATACAATGTGAACTTGTAGAATTATTCTTACAGAAGTGTAGGTTAGCTGGGTATGGCAGTGCACACCTGTAATCCTAGGACTTGGAGGTGAAGGCGTGAGGATTAGAAGTTCAAGGTCATCCTTTGTGACACAAAGGAGGCCAGCCTGAGTTACATGAGAACCTGTCTCAAACACAAACCAAAAATGATGAAATTTGAAGTCATAATTGTAGAAAATGTATTTTCATAGATTTCTCCTGGGAAAACATAAAGCCGCCACTGAAGTATATAATGAAGCAGCTAAACTTAACCAGAAAGATTGGGTAAGTAAGAAAAGTAATTTCTTTCTTATCAAATGGCTTTTTTTTTTTTTTTTTTTGACAAGGTATCATTGTGTGTGTAGCCCCCTGGCTGGCCTCAGATTCATTAAGTAGACCAGGCTTGGCCTCAAACTCAGAGAGATCCACCTGCCTCTGCCTCCACAAAGGTATGCTCAACCACTGCCAGCGCTTGGCTAGAATTCTTAGATGCTCAAACTTTTTGATTCTGTTTTGAGCATGGCATTTCTCCATAACTTTGCAAATCTTGTTGTGTAGTTTCCAGCTGTTAGTGTTGCTTTTAGTTTTTTACTGGTTTGATTCTTTCTGTGATCATCCCAACATTGCCAGGAGCTTTAGGAGTTGGGTTGTTTCACCTTTGGAATTTGAAAGCATCCGCAGTACATGTTTCCATTGTACTTTGCCTGTTTTTTCCCTAACTGCCTGACAGTCTGTCAGCTGTTTCTTTTGCCTTTCTTTGGGTCATGAAAACTTGAAGCAGCTTTTTGATTATTTTCCCTCTCTTATTAATATATATTCATTGTATAAAACAATGAGTTTCACTGTGAAATTTTCATAGTTTGGTCATAGTCACTTTCCCTATCTCTCTATTTCTATCATGTATTTATGTAAATTGGGGATTATATGATTACACAGAAGCAGACTAAATGTCATCACAAATTAAGGGTTGGGAGCTGGAGATATGGTTCAGCAGTTAAGAGCACTGGCTGCTCTTTCGGAAGACTAGGGGTTCAATTCCCAGCACCCACATGGCAGCTCACAACTGTCTGTACCTCCAGTTCCAGAGGATCCGACACTCCCCCACAGACATACATGCAGGCAAAAGACTAGTGTACATAAAATAAATTAAGGGTTTCCCCCCCGTGCAAACCTACATCACTGGTTTTGACTTGCATTTGGTGGTACTAGAATTTCAGGGCGGAGATTTACTCATGGTTAGTTTAATGGTGACTGCTACAGCTCAGAAATGTTTCATTCTTAGATATGGAACTCAAACAAGGCAGAGCAAGCCCCAACAGAGCCTGTGCTGTGTCTCCTCAGCCACAGCCTCTGAAAGGAAGGCTTGAAAGCACCATTGAAATCTGCAACTAAAGTAGAATGCTATTGTAAAGGGAAACAGGAATGGGCCTCTGGTGGATGAGCAGCTGTGTCTGCTACACTTGCTCTCAGACACAGCAGCTCTGTGGCTTTTTAACCTGCCTCTCATTTTCTGTTATTTTATTTATATCCAAGGACATTTGCTCAGTCTTATTTCCCAGATCATTATTTTTGCTTTTAGCTATATATATTCTGGTGGCCTATTCAGTCCCTTAATATGAGTACTTGTATTCTGATTTCTAAGTACGTCTCTCTCTCCTCTTTATTAATTAATTAATTAATTAATTTGTTGTTGATGTTATTTAGTTGATTATTTGAGACAGGGTCTCCCTATGTAGCTCTGTCTGTCCTGGAACTCACTCTGTAGACCAGATTGGCCTCAAATCTACAGAGATCCGCCTGCCTCTGCCTCCTGAGTGCTGGATTAAAGGCATGCAGCACCATGCCTAGCTTTTTTTTTTTTCCCTTCTCTTGTAGTACCTTCTCTGTGTCTCAGTCTTGAAGTTTTGTATATTTCCACAATTAACTTCCTCTTCCTGCTCTCTCTCTTTTTTTTATACATTGGCTGATTTTTGTAGAGACCTTCCTATGTCAGAGAGAAGTACATTTATTATAGTAGCAAGATAACATGACTTCCCTTAGAGTCCTTAGGGCAGTATTTCTTAAAAGTTTAATAACATTTTATTTATTGTGTGTTGATAGGGTGTGTAGGGTGGGGATGAGTTTCTTTTCTCCCTCCACCATGTGGTCTCAGGGATTGGACTCAGGTCATTGGACTTGGCCACAAGAAACTTTCCCTGAGCTATCTTGCCAGCATTATCATTTTTAAAGTATATTTTAGTCTCAGTTAGTTTTTTCCTTCTGGTGTGAAGGTTATTAACTTTAAAGTTTTTTTAAATCTTGTCTTCTTATTTTGTGTCTGTGCTGTATGTATTTTTATATAGGTGAGGACACACATGCTACAGTGTTTTGGTCAGGGTTTCTATTGCTATGAAGAGACACCATGACTACGGCAACTCTCTTAGGGCTAGCTTACAGTTTCAGAGATTTAGTCCATTATCATCGTGGTAACAAGCATGGTGTCATACAAGCAGACACAGTGCTGGAGAAGGAGCTGAGAGTTCTACATCTTGACATGTAGGCAGCAGAGGGAGACTGTGCCACAGTGGGCATAACTTGAGCATCTGAGACCTCAAAGCCCAGCCTTAGGGGCTAGAGAGATGGCTCAGAGGTTAAGAGCACTGGCTGTTCTTCCAAAGATCCTGAGTTCAATTCCCAGGAACCACATGGTGGTTCTCAACCATCTATAATGCGATCTGGTGCCCTACTGTGGCCTGTAGGCACACATGCAGGCAAAGTACTGCATACACAATAAATAAACAAACAAACAAACAAACAAACAAACAAATAAATATTAAAAAAAGAAAAGCCCAGCCTCACATCCCCCAGTAAGACCACACCTCCTGATAGTATCATTCTCTATAGTCCAAGCATTCAAACACAGGAGACTTTGCGGCCACTCCTGTTTAAACCACTACATGCAGTGAGTGTACAGGTCAGAGGAGCTGGTGCTTTCCATCAGTAGGTCACGAGAGTTGCTGGCAAGCTCTTTTACCCACTGAGGGCTCTTATTTTCATCATGCCCCTTGTCTTCCTAGACAGGGTCACATTTAGCCCAGACTGGCCTTGAATTAACTGTGTATTAGACAGTAGCTTTGGATTCCTCATCCCACTACCTGCATCTCCTGAGAGCTGAGCTGAGGTAAGCTGAGTCATTGGAGACCAAGGTGAAACCACACATATAGTTAGTTTTTTTTTTTTTTTTTTGTCTTTCAGAAAAATTTGGACATGATAAGTTTTAGGGTCTGGTGGTATATCTAAATTGAGATCTGTCCAGTGTATAGTTAGATATAAAATCATGATGTTTTGTGCTGTATATGAACATTTTGGAGTCAGAAACAGAGTTAATAACTGAAACCATGAAACTGGTTGAGATGGTCAGCAGTGAGTTGAGGATGGAGCTCAGGAAGGGCAGAACAGACACCCCCCTCCCCCCAAAAAAATAAATAAAGGCAGAAGCTGAGTCAGGAGGGCTGGGCAAAGGAGAGCTGAGGTATGTCTGCTGTGCCATGTGTTGAAAGCTTACTTGGTATCATGACCCACTTAGGATGATGACCAGACAGGTACTGTCTTATGTGATACCTGGTCAATGGCTACAGCAAACTTCTTATCTCTCCTTTTTGTACTCATCATGGTATTCCACAATCTGGTTCTAACAAGGGGATAATAATCCTGTATGCCATTGTCTTGACTTCTGAAACAGCTGTTTCCACTAATGACAAGTGAGAAATCTGACACTTTGGATGGAATGACATGCCAAAAGGCTCACAGTGAGGAGGGACAGAAGTAGATTGCAGCTTGCAGTCTAGGATGGCCCACTATAGCCGGAGCTCTTTCTGTAGTGTCTGCTGCCTTGGAGGATGTCTCTGGACACTCCTCGTAAGAGATAGGATTTAACCATAATTTGTTTTGTTGTCCTTTGCATACTTCCTGTGCTGTTGGTTGTTTAAGCCATGTTGATGCTCTGTTCTTAAACATCACCTACAACAGTGATTCATGAGGTTAGGGGTTAATGTGCAGAGCATTAAAGGGCAAGAGGTGTGCTGTTTCTCCCATCTGTCCTTGTACTTCTTACAGTATGATAAAGTGGAACACATACAGATTTTGGGGACAGGCTTGAATTTGAATGCATTGTTCTTGGTAAGTCAGACATTATTTCAGTTGTGGCTTAAGAGAAAAAAAATTTAAATGTGAGATGTTTATAAAACAGATACTAGTTTTTTGTTTTTCAGGTAGGATAGTATCGTAAGTTTAAAACAATTTTTAAAAGATTTATTTTTATTTTGTGTATAGTGGTGCTTTGGCTACATGTATGTCTGTACATCTACATGTGTGAGGTACTTGTGAGTCCGTAAGAGGACACTGATTTCCTGGAAGTGAGGTTACATATGTTTGTAAGTTATCCTGTGGGTGCTTTGCACTCAACCCAGGTCCTCTGGAAGAGCAGCCAGTGCTCTTAACTGCTGAGCCACCCCCCCAGGCCCCCCCCCCCCCTCCCGGTTTCCTTTCTAAAGCTGCCAAAGTCGGATTTATTTCAAAGGAGATTTCACAACACTCAGGTCAGAATACAGATTATTCTGTACAGAATACAGACTAATACAGGTTAGTTTTATAGTGAACTAGAATTAGAAAGTTGTTGGCAGCCAAGTTAGTCACTGGATTTTTGATTCATCTTTCTTTTCTGCAGGTCAGAGGTTGGTAAACTCTTTTTTTTTTTTTTTTTTTGTAAAGGACTATTTAGTATGTAATTACCAAATGTATTTACATAATATTGTAGCTTTTTACACTGTTATAGCTACTCAACTCTGTGGTTCTGGTTATAGCGTAGAAGAGCCATAGGAAGTAACTGTACAAAGAAGAATGAATTTGACCTGTGACTTGTGCTGCAGAGTTCAGCAGATTAGCTCGAGATATTTATCGCAGTGGCCCCAGATGGCACCACTGGTTACCCAGTCACTTGTAGGAAGGTGGTATTGTAAGTGGCCGAGCTCCTTCCTGTCCAGATTCCTACAGAAAAGGCTCAGGGATCCAGAAGTAGAAAGACAGGCTCTCCTTAGTAGTTGAGCGGAGAGCTGGCGGGGACACCTCGCCGCACTGCCGTCTTTAGGCTGCTGTGCGCTAGTGCGTACAGTAATCGACGCCTAACTGCTCTCCTTTGTTTTGTGTGTAGGAGATCTGCCATAACCTGGGAGTGTGTTACACTTACCTAAAGCAGTTCGACAAGGTAATCAGAGAAATGATGGTGGCTGACTGGAATTCACTGCGGTACATTGTCACAGAGCCTCTGTCCACTGTGTCTTGGCTCTACCCTCAGCAGAGCTTGGGGAGTAAAAATTGCCTTTCATAGTTACTGTTGTGTTAATACTTGTCATTACTCATTGTTTTCCTACTTTTGATTTAAAATGGGGTGTGAGTTTAGTATAGAAACAAATGTCTGCTATGACACAGATCAAAAAGTGGACCTTCGCAGGTCATTATGGCACACACTCCTGAAATTTCTTCAATCAAGAAGCTAAGGGCAGAAGAATCTGAGTTTGAGACTAGCCTGGGACTTGTGAGACACTGTTTCAAAGAAAAACAACAAAAACAAAACAACAAACAACCCCCCCCCACACACACACACTGACAAAAACACTGGTTTTTCCTTTTTGTTTTGTTTATTTTGAGACAGAGTTTCTCTGTGTAGCCTTAGTTATCCTGGAACTCACTCTTTGAGTAGATCAGGCTGGCCTTGAACTCAGAGATCTACTTGCCTCTGCCTCCTGAGTGCTGGATTAAAGGGGTGAGCCACATGCCTGGCCTTTAGTTTTGCTTTTAAGGTCAGTGAAAATGAATTTAAGTGGATTGAATTTTGTTTCATAATGAGAGTTTTTTTTCTGAGGTGAATTTTCAGGGTGGAGTGAGTTCACTCTGAACTCTGTGCTCTTAAGACTGATATCAGACAAAGAATGTTAAGCTTATCTTGGTGCTCAAATTAAGAAATAGATACCTAGTTTTGTTTTTTTCTTTTGGGTGTGTGTGGGGGTGTTCGAAGCAGTGTTTCTCTGTGTAGCCTTGGCTGTCCTGGAATCTTCTCTATAAACCAGGCTGGCCTTGAACTCACAGAGATTTCCCTGCCTCTGCCTCCTGAGTGCTGGGATTATAGGCGTGGGCTACCCCACCCGGGCTGTTTTGTTGTTGTTGTTTGTTTTGGATTTTGGTTTTTTAATTAAAACTTTGACATTTTTTATTTTACTCTGTGTGTGAGTGTTTTGCCTGCGCGTATATCTGTGCGCCATGTGTGTGCCTGGTCCCTTTGGAGGCCAGGGCATCAGTCCTCTGGAATTGGAATGACAGATGACTGTGAGCCACCAACTGAGTTTTGGGAATTGAACCTGGGCCCTCTGTAAGAGAAGCCAGTGTTCCTAAATGCTGAGCCATTTCTCCAGTCCAAGATACATGTCTTAACTGAGGAACAGATGAATTTGAGAGTCCCTAAAGGTAGTGCTGGTGATTAGGGAGTTCCTTTAGACCCTAGTGACTGTGCATCTTTGTTCTCCTTTCTTTTGCTGCTACCAACAAGGCTAACTTTGTCATCTTTTCAAGATCATGGTATAACCTAACCAATCTCTCAGGGATATGAAAAAATATCTGCATATTAGCAATTGAAGTATAAGAATTATTTTTTGTAAGACATAAATAAAACATTCCACTTTTGTATTCAGTGGAACATGTAAGTTTTCTTGATGAATCTATTTTTGCATAGATGATTAAATTTTTCTCTTCAGAGAATATTTTGACCAGGTACAAGGGAGAGGCAGGATTAATCTTTGAACCTCTACTGAGGCGGACAGTTATATTTAAATTCATTATAAAACTCAACAGGCTGAACAAATACAAGACCTGGCATTTATAGAAGCTCTCATTGAGTCGATAAATGAACAAAAATCTTTTTGTTCATCTACTAAGATGTAGGTTCTTCCAGATCAAAAAGTTATTTACGTTTGCTCTTTGTTGTGTGGTGTTGGGGGCTGAACTCAGGGCCTCCACAAGGCAGGCATAGCCCTAACCTTATTTTCTTATTAACTGTAGTATACCAGGCATCTAGATCAGCAGGCACTCAGTAAGTACTTTTTGAATGAATAAATAAGAACAACTTTTGTGTTCATTTGTGTGCATTTTGTTGAGGAAAACAGGCCCAGCCTGGCAAAGGCTGTGCAGGTCGTCGGAAGTGTAGGTGGGGTCAAGTTTGGTATGGCATTCTATACTGTACTAACTGTACTGTGATGCCCTTTTGGAGTTAGGAAGTTTAACTCATGGGTGTAAATGTCAAACAGAAAACATTCAGAAGGTTGATCATGAACTCAGCAGGGCCAGCTAGACTATGCTTGGTCTTCAGGTCGTGAAAACTACTTTCTGAGACATGATGCTCCGGCATCAGTACATCAAAGCTCTGTCTTCACAGTCAACATAGAACTGGCACTGGCTTGTTATTCTTACTCTATTAAACTTCACTTAGGCACGAGACCAATTGCACAGCGCCCTCCAGCTCAACAAGCATGACCTGACTTACATGATGCTGGGGAAGATCCACCTACTACAGGGAGACTTGGAGAAAGCCATCGAGACCTACAAGAAAGCAGTGGAGTAAGTGTCTCTTTCTCTTGGACCTTAATAGCATGTCTGCCTTTAACATTGCAGCATGGAGTTACCCCTACAGAGTTCAGGTTTAAGAATCGCACAATTGAGTAACAAGAACTTGTACACACATACGAAGTCCCATAATGTTTTCTGTAAGACTGCCATTATATGTTGGGACACATTCACAGTTTTGCTGGAATGTATACAGCAGGGGCCACACCCTGACACACCTGCTGGAAGCAAGGAAGAAAGCAAGGAAACAGAAAGGGAACTAGTGTTTTCTCTCTTCAGTGTCTGTCCTAGGCTAGCTGCTTCACAGGTCAAACGCTGGCAAGTTAGGTTCCTTAGCTGCTTTTCTTATGCCTGCATGATCAAAGCTGAGTAACCAGCCATAAAATGTGTTTCAAGCCATACTGAAGGATGATGATGCTGGAAGCTAAGTATGGAGTTAGCATCTCTCGTTTTAATAACCCTAAAACTGTACACATACTGGCTGCTTATAGTCTATGGTTTGAAAGTGGGCAGGAGAACATAGCTGCAAGGGCAGTGGGCAGGCGTGCACTCAGCAACAGTTGGGCAGTGCGGTCTTCTAGTTTAATACTGTACAGCAAGCAGGTCCTCTGTTCCTGGAGGTCATGTTAGGGACAGAAATCTCCTAGCTCAGTAACAGACATCTGGTTTTATCATCTTTAGGGCCATATACCCTGTGTTACTGTTATTTCATTTCTTATGATGGGGATAGAACCTTACCCATGCTTAACTGAGCTGCAATCCAGTCCCAAAATCTTGAGTTTTGTTGTTGCTCTTTGTTTAAAAGATATCATTAGGGTAGTGTAACCTGTTGATAATGGATGACTGAATTTCCCATGATACTGTTCCAAGTTTCCTTTCTAGGGATACATGGGATTTTTGTGTATGTGCAGTATCATGTTTCATTTACTTAACTTATTTTGAGACAGGGTCTCAGTGTATAGCTTTGCCTGCCTCAAACTCCCTACGTAGACCAGGTTGGCCAGGAACTTAAAGAGATCTACCTGCCTCAATACCTGGCTTGTTCGATTGATCATGGAGTAGAATATGAGTGACTCATGAACTAAGATTCTGAACATGCTGGTCATTTAACTTCATCCTCAGCTGAATTTCCTGGCTATAGCATCACAGCACTGCTTTCTGCATTTTCTTTAATCACATTTTGTGACAGAAAAATCTCTTGGGTTTGGTAAGCTACAGCAACTTCTATCATCAAAAGGTCAGGGTTATATGGATAGGAAGGAAGGAGCCATGGAACGGCTTGTAATGCTGAAGAGTAGGCCTGTCCCTGACCCTTGTCCTGTACAAGGTGGCATTTGAGTTAGTGCACATGAGCTCCGATGAGGGTGTGCTGACAGTGGCCACTCGGACTGGAGGCACTCAGCTTCCCAAAGAAGAAGACAGGACGCTGAGCGCCTGAGAAGGTAGGTTTGCGATCTGCAGCTTTGTTGGCGGGGGAACAGATGCTGATGAAAACAGGAAGAGTGGGAAGCCCAAGTTCCCATTGTGGTTTGGAAAGGGACATTATCACAGAGGATATCTACTATAGAAGAGAGAGAGGCAAATTCTCAATTGCAGTGACAGAGTTGTTTGCCAGCTCAGGCATAAGCTGGGCTTTGGCTCTGCAGGGTCTAGACTGCCTACAGGTAACAAGCATCCTCCTTCATTCCTTACAATCACGAGGCAGCTCCTTGCTCTTTGATGTGTTACTGGTGAAACTGATCCTGTGTTCAGATGGTTTTACCTGTGTTGCTTTGGCTTTTGGACAACGACAGGTATAAGCGAGAGACTGAGAAGGCAGCTAACGTATAGGCCAGTGTTTATTCCCAAAACCCAGTATCTAAGTCTTTCCAAGGGCTGATATGTGCCTTCTTTCTTTTGTTTAGTTTGGAAATTTAGTATGGCACTTTGTTTAATTTGGAGCACATAGCATCAGGGCCCTGAGATCCTCCATGACACAGGAAGTAGGCTGCCTACCTTTATAAGCACAGGGAAATTGGCAGTGAGTTCTCAACACTTTGACTGACTGACTGACTGACTGACTGTCCTGACTGACTTGGCTTAAGTTTTCGTTATTTTCAATGTGATGAATCATCCCACACAGTTCTTTTTTAAGTTTGCTGTTGGTTCAATGAAAGGCTCTGAAAAAGGAGTCTGGATTTTAAGCCCCATTTCCTTCTACTGAGAAGATCTTTCCTGTTGCCAGGATTGAGATCATTCACTTTTGAAGGAAATTGTCAAACTTAGAAGTTCACATGGGAAAGAAAAAGGTTTAATAAAGGGCCCCAGGTGCTGGCAATGGAGCAGATGGCTCTGGAGTCTAGTGTCTCATAACCATGGTTTCCTTGCGAGCATCTCTGTGTTACAGGTTCTCGCCAGAAAATACAGACCTTCTGACAACCTTAGGATTACTCTACTTACAGGTAATGAAAACTGTTTGTTCACACACTGGTGTTAAATGCTTTAGGTTTGTATCTATGATGGTTTCCTTCATTTTTCTATGCTGCGTTTTACTAACAGTCACAGTACGTACATGAACCTTGGTTTGTTTTATATACTCATTGCTAAAGGAGTTAACATTTGCACTAAAGTCATAATTCTGTTTCACCCTTAGTGTAATAGCAATTTTTATGCAATAGGGAAAGAATATATATATATATATATATATGTATATATGAAACTGCTGTCTGGGGCTGTTATCTTATTGTTGGGGGAAAGAAAAGACCCAGTACATTGTACCATTTTGTGGGCTTTGGGGCCAAGACTATTTCTGTGGTTCATCTTGCTAGCCAAGGTCCCTGTACAAGAGAGGAGCGAGGGGTATATTTTTAGAGAGGAAACCTCCCCTTCCCTTCACATTGCTAAATGTGAGTGAGATACTTACACTGGCCACTTCTGTTTGCCTGAGTACCTGCTCCAGATCTGAGCTGGAGCTGCTCACCCTACAGTCTCTCTGATGTGCCTCTTGTAACTATTGCTTTAAGATAAGAAGAACCAAGAGTTTAACTCTGGGTCCTCTGGGCTTTGGCTTCTGAGCAGGCCCAAAGGGACATGAAGCTAATTACCACAGTCTCCTTGCCAGGAGGTATTAATATTGATTAGCATGGGTGTTTCTAAGATGGTTTTTGGCAGAAGATACTTTGATCTTATCTGGAGAAGAAGGAACAGAATAAGAAAACCACAAGCATGGCGACTGGGTTTTATCTGGTATGCCCGCTTTATTTCTGTTGTTGTTACTATTCTGGGCTGCAGTGGAGTGGGGTCAGAAGAAGTCACAAGTGACCGCATGTCTCCACCAGGGTACAACTCTGAGCTGTACCAAACTCCTGAGCTGACATCTGTCCCTGCTGAGGTAAATTCTTTGCTTTGCTTTCTTTCAAGCTTGGTGTTTACCAGAAGGCATTTGAACATCTTGGGAATGCACTGACTTATGACCCTGCCAACTACAAGGTATTTCAGGCTATGGAACTACAGAGCCTTCCTACAGATGGTCCCGTGACCCCTAGAGCTGACCCGACCCTAGAAATGGGATGGCTTTCTCATTTTAAATACCCAAGAAGTTAACTTTGTATCTATATGCTAGTGCTGGAGAACAAAACCAGAGCTTTGTGTGTGTCAGGCAAGTAATCTACCATGAGGTACACCCCGTGTCTGAGAAATCACCTTTTATTTATAATTCTTACTTTTAAAAGTTCTTATTGAAACTGTTGTAAAGCGTTGATGCTCAGCTTCTTCACAAGGAGTATCTTTATGGTAACAGGCCTGTGAATCTTTGCTGAAGGCGGTCAGGGTGCCATTAGAGTTTATGTGTTACTTGAGAATTTAGCCCAGCTTCCACAACAGTTGTTTAAGGATTCTTGATCTTAGTGAACCTGAAATTATAATTTCTAGATATGACTCAGAGGTGGGAAAATCAAGTGAATGAATATTACTGAGGGAGGTGCAACCAGATAGGGCTGTTTAGACACAAACTCGGTCATTTAGGAAGGCAGTAGCCAGGCTCTGCTGTCTCCCCACCTCAGTACCTTCAAGAAATAATAGTGCTGGACTGATAAAAATGGCAGCCAACTCACTGCATCCTGAGCCAGAAAGAGATGGGTATTTCGTATCCACAGTCAAGTATATGAGAGGTGTCAGTACAGCTAGTGTACAAAGCAGTGCAGACAAAAGGCAGCAGTTTCAGAATACTAAGTTCCTTAGCTACAAGTAGGAAACAAAAGGAGCTAGTGCATCCAGTGACATTTTTCTGTTTTTGTTTTTATGCCGTATGACTCCAGAAACATTCCTTAGCAGTCCTTGACCTAGTAGTTTGGGTATATTAGTTACCTGGAAGAAGTTTCTCTGTCATGTCTATGCCAGTGGGCTAACTATGTGCATTCAGGAGACCGTCTCACAGCCATGGCTTCTTGATGACTGAGTTACTAACTTTACATGCATTACGTTTCAGGCCATCTTGGCAGCAGGCAGCATGATGCAGACCCATGGGGACTTTGATGTTGCCCTTACCAAATACAGAGTTGTAGCTTGTGCTTTTCCAGAAAGTCCTCCACTTTGGAATAACATTGGAATGTGTTTCTTCGGCAAGAAGAAATACGTGGCAGTAAGTGTCCTTACAGCCCTGTTCACACTCATCCACATGGTTGGTTAATGGGTCTGCTGAGCCCGCCTTGCCCTGGGTTGAGTGCCCCTGTCTCTGCAGGCGATCAGCTGTCTAAAACGAGCCAATTATTTGGCTCCCTTCGATTGGAAGATTCTGTACAATCTGGGCCTTGTCCATTTGACTATGCAGCAGTATGCATCAGCATTCCATTTCCTCAGTGCAGCCATCAACTTCCAGCCAAAGATGGGGGAACTCTACATGCTTTTGGCTGGTAAGGGACATTTATATAGAAACCCTTTTTGTTTTGTTTTCAAGACAGGGTTTCTCTGTGTAGTCTTGGCTATCCAACTCAGAGATCAACCTGCCTCTGCCTCTGCTGGGATTAAAGGCATGTGCCACCACACCTGGCTAGAAATCCATTCTTGTAAGTTATACTGATGGAAAAGCCAGTTAGGATCATAGGTTAGTAGCTAAATGCCCTAAAGAGAGATTTGAACTTAAGAATTTTAACAGGTCCAATCAAGATCATTCATGTCCACAGTTCATTTTTATTTTTTTGGACACAGGGTCTCATTATTTGGTCCTTGCTGGCCTGGAACTTACTGTGCAAGTTCTTTGAACTCAGAAACTGCCTGCCTCTGGAGTGCTGGGATTAAAGGTGTGCGCCACCACACTTAGCTTTTTTTAAATTTATTTTGAGTTATGTATATATGTATGTGTCTGTGGGTAGGTTTATGCACATGTGTGTCCAGAAAAGGGCACTGGTTTCTTTGAAACTAGAGATACAGACAGTTGTGAGCTATCTGGTATGGATATTTTCAGCACCAAACTTACGTCTTCTGCAAGAGCAGCAAGTGCTCTTAATCTTAACCATTGCACCATCCCTCCAGCCCCACACAGTACCCCTCTTAAGTTCTTTTTTTTTTTTTTCCTGTTTTTTGGTGTGTGTGTATGTGTGTGTCTCTGCTAGATATTGACCCCTGGGCCCTGCATGTAGCTAGGCAAGTTCTCTCCCCCTGAGCCCCCATATTTGCTGCACCTGGTTGATCTGAGCGCGATAGCATAATTAAGAACCTGGGCATAACATGGAGTTCTGCCCCTCTATGATTGTATGTACTCGTGGCTGATGTGAGGATTACGAGCAAACACAGTGAACATGAAACCTTTGGGTTTGTTACCACAGTGCACATACGGAGGTCAGAGGACAACTTAAGGGAGAAGTTTCTCTCTTTCCATTATGTGGTTCCAGGGATCCAGCTCAGGCCATCAAACATCCTTACTCATTGAGCCATCCCATTGACCCATTTTTATTTTTGTTAATGTAACTGGCCTTTGGTTAGAATATCATTCTATTCCCAAATTCCATTTATGCTATACAAAATAAAATTAAGCAGGGAAGAGGTGGATCATGTCTATAATCCTGCTTTTGAAGTAGAGGTAGGAAGGTTGAGGCCAGCCTGAGCTACATTAGTAAGACTGACACTATTTAAAAAGAAAGAAACACAACAAGCTAGCTATTCCTTCTAGGGAATACTTTCTCCACAAAACAGACTTAGAGCTGTCTGTCTTCATTGGTCTCCTGGTGTGTCTCTACGTCTTCCTTGGTAGTGGTCTTCTGGTGTGTGTCTATGTCTTCATTGGTCTTCTGTCTTTTGGTCATTCCTGTGGTATTTTCAATTTATGAGAGAAAGGTCAAAAGCAACTAAATGGTGGTTATTTGGAGAGCACCAGAATGCAAAGCTAGCTCAAGTTTCTGGAGAAGCTTAGAGCCTTCCTGTAAGGTAAGAGTGCCTCACTGCTTACGTTAGGGCAGACACATCAGTTCTCATCTGACAAAGCAGAGCCAGGCCTGCACAAGGTCCTGAAGGACAAACTAGACTTCAGTGGCAATGTAAGTGTGTGACTGTGGAATGACACAGAGTCCTTCTGTATTCCTAGTTCTCATAGTTGCCTTTTTGGCTGCAGGAGGTGGAGTTACCATGACTTTCAGAGTAGCTGTTTTTAGGTTTTATATATTAGGCTTTCAAGAAATCCCAATTTTGAAAAAAGGAGGGGAATGTTCTGTGGCTTGCTAAAAGTTTTAAGAGTCATGGTTATAGATGATGAGGAACAAGTGAGCATTTTTGGGTAGAACAGTGATGTGTCAGTTTGTACGTCCTGTTAGCAGTGTGAGATGGAGGCAGGTGGTGACAGTGTCACCAGAGAAAATGGAAAACTTGGTTTGGGCTTGAACAAGGGAAAATAGCAGAAAGTCAGTGGAAAAGCAGGACACACGACACTCTGCAGCCAATTTATGCGGTGAGGCATCGAAGCTGAAGGATGAAAGAGACTTCATTTTGAGAGTGGTCTAAGATATATATATTTTTTCTATCTAAAATGAGCTCTCCTGACTTTCTCTGACAGTGGCTCTGACCAACCTGGAAGATACAGAAAATGCCAAAAGAGCTTATGCCGAAGCTGTTCGTCTGGATAAGTACGCATTCTGTTCTGTGGGAAAGGGTCAGGGGGTGTTATTACCAAAGTGTGCCTTAGGATCAATGCTGCCTGAATCATCTAGGCTACTGTGTCACGTAAATGTGGCTCCTAAGCAAGCAGAGCTTGACAAGAATTAAAAGCCTGAGAAATACTTCCACTTCTGAGCTTAGTAATCAAGAAAGTCAAGAGCTGGCAACACTCTGGCTTGAGTTGCTCATAAGCTGTAGCTAACTAGATTAGCGGGGTTCAGCTTCATCAAAGGTAAATATATATTCTTGGGGTGTGGGGGGAGGTTATTTGACCAGCATTGGGATTTCTTGCTCAGCCCTTCTCATGTGGCTTTGTTGGTGCCTTACCTTTGTCCTGCTTTGCTGCTTAGACGGCTCCTTGACTCTGCTCCGTGGGTCACATTTTGTTGTATGATGGGAACAACCAACACTTAGTCATTTTTGTTTGGATTTCATATGAGAAAGATCTTCAAATGACTAAATTATTACAGAGCCCCAGTGTCAGGCAGTCCCTCTCTGCCACAGGTGTAACCCTTTAGTAAACCTGAACTATGCTGTGCTGCTGTATAACCAGGGTGAGAAGAAGGGTGCCCTGGCCCAGTACCAGGAGATGGAGAAGAAGGTCAGCTTTCTCAAGGACAACAGTCCTTTGGAATTTGACTCTGAGGTATGTCTTAAATTAGCTTCTATACATTAATAAGCAAGTTGTTAACAGATGAAAGGTACTATAAGCTCATGTTTCTCTGTGTTTCATGCTGATTACGGCATGAACTCACCAGTTACTTATAGTCTGAGACAAACTTTGCTAGACAAAATAGTTCAGACTTACTGCGTTATGTTTTCACTCATACAGCTTATCAGCAACGGATAGTTTGGCTAGTGATGCATCAAATTTAAATTATTGCATTTTAGAGATCTTGTAAGGTCCGCCCTTGGTGTCCAGTAGGCAACCTGTACTCTCACTGGAGAATGATTCCCTTAGCCAGGCATGAGAACACTTGAATGATTTCCTTGTTTAAGCACTTCCTCCATCAACTGCTGTTACATCAGGCAATGGCTCAGTCAGTGCCCTTTGGTGAAAGGCCCAAGAAGGCTGGCTTGGCTCTTCTGGTCTTGTCAACAGCTTTTTTTTCTTCCCATGTGGGCACAAGATGGTAGAGATGGCTCAGAAGTTGGGAGCTGCCCTCCAGGTTGGGGAGGCACTGGTCTGGACCAAGCCAGTCAAAGATCCCAAGTCAAAGCAACGGACCAATTCAGCGAGCAAATCTGCTGCTCCCCCACAGCCTCTGGGCTCCAATCAAGCTCTAGGACAGGCGATGTCTTCAGCAGCTGCCTACAGGAAGCTCCCTTCAGGTAGGAGTACATAAAGCTCTGTGAAGAGTTGGTGGGGATAAGCCGCCTTTGCCAGCAGAGATCACAGCGTTGAGAGAGGCGCGCACTGCACACAGGCATGAGTGCGCTGTGCATCATGGCCAGTTTAGTACTGGACAGAGTCCCCAGAGCGAGCAAACTGCCACTTGTTTCCGAGGGCAGCTGTGAGGTAGGTGACAATGGAGACTGTTTATCGGGTAGCAGCTTCTAGGCTTAGAAGTGCATGACTAAGTGTGTGCTGTTGCACATTCTTGCTTTAGTTTTCACAAGCTTAATGTTTTATTCCTTCAGTTATGTTATGGGTGTCCCTCCTAGGTACAGAATGCACTATAGTCTTGACAGTCTCAGACGATACCAAGGTCCCTGTTAAATGGCTTTTTATGAAATGGAGTAACTGAGAATTCAAGTTTTGTTTCCTTGCAAGGTGCTGTAGGAGCCCAGCTCACAAAGCCACCATCATTGCCATTGGAGCCAGAGCCCGAGCCCACTGTGGAAACAAGTCCAAAAGAAGCATCAGAACAAAAGAAAGAAAAATAGCAACATACGTGAAAAAAACAGGATGACCCTGGAGTAGGGGGTCTCTTAGGTGAGACCATATAGAAGGTGGTCATATGACCAGGCAGATGGAAGCCAACACTCTTCGTCCTGGGTTGGCACTGCAGAATTAAAACAGAGCCCAGGGTGTGTTGGATCAGGAGGAGTCTAAGGCTCATGCAACCCTTTGCTGGCCCCATCATCCAGGAACGAGAGAGAAGACATGCTAGATAGACTTGAGGTCTTACGTGTATAGCTCCAAGAGTCAGCAAGGCAAATGATCAAAGACCATCACTCAGTGAGGGACTGTTATCTTGATAAAGGAAAAGGGTCCTTTCCTTAATAGCCTGTGGTGATGAAACCCTATTCTAACTGAACTGTGGGAACACATCAGTCCCCACTGTAAACACAAACCTTAGATTAAGAACCTAGTTAAGCCAGGCACAGTGGTGAATGCCTGTAATCCTAGCTGGGAGGCAGAAGCAGGCAGATCTCTGAGTTTGAGGCCAGCCTGATCTACAAAGTGAGTCCAGGACAGCCAGGGCTACACAGAGAAACGCTGTCTCGAAAAAAACAAAAACAAAAACAAAACAAAACAACCACAAAAAAACAAACAAAAAAAAGGACCTAGTTAAATAGGGTTGTCCCCCCCGACCCCCAACACTTCTTTTAGATTAAGTTGAGACCCAGACAGGAATGTGTCCAAAGAGAATCTAAAACAAGTCCTCATCTCCAGAGGTCAGAGTCTAGAGTCATATCATGTCAGAATAAGTGGTAGGAGTCAAGGGCTGGTCTGAAATCTGCACCAAGGATTTAAGAAGGTGTGGGTAGAATGACTGAGGACATACCTCAGTGTTAGAGCGCTTGCTTGGCATGCACAAGGCCCTGAGTTCAATCCCCAGTACTGTTAAAAAAAAGAGCTTTTAGCAAGGGAATTTTAACCAAGATAATCAATGATGAATGCTAACAGATGCTCTCATGGCCCATTAGCAGCCTTTGTAAAGATTATGGATCACTAAAAGGTCACATTAAAAGATTTAAAAAAAAAAAAAGTATCACTGTCTGTCTATCTTTACCTATTTCCAAGCCTCATTTGAAACTAAAAGCCTCAGAGTCATGTTGTTCTTAGCTGTAGTGTGGCCTCACAGCAGTGTAGAAGGTCAGCCCCTCTGAGCCAGTTCTAGTTTTCGCCTAAACTGGCAGCTAGACGCCTGACATACTATCAAACCAGTGTGGAGTTTTGATACTATGGCTAGGCCTGACTGGGCAGACTGTGCAGAGATCCTCTTCTGAACTCTTAACCACTCAAGGCAAGCACAGTACCAGATGTAGCAGATCTGCTTTGCAGCAATGGAAAAACTCACCTCTACATAGCATAGAGGGTGGTAAAGACTAAATTAATTGGTCTCTAGAACCCAGGAGCTAAGTCAGCAGAAAGGAGGTCTATTTGTAGGTGGCAGATGAGAAGAGACTGTATAGGGGAGGCAGATGCTCCTTCTGGACTGAAGTCCAGAAGATGGGTGACTAGGACCAAGGACTTTCAAGTCTGTTTTTAGGTATGTCTGTCTTTGAGATAACCCAATGATGTCTTACTAGATACCTAAATAACCTGAATTAAGGAACAAAGTCTATTTGAAGGTTCTGCTAGAGCACTGGCTCTCAACCTGTGGGTCAAGATCCTTTTTTTTTTTGTGGGGGGGAGGGGTGTCACGTATCAGATATCCCACATATGAGATGCTTACATTATGATTCATAACAGTAGCAGTATTACAGCTATGAAATAGCAACAGAAATAACTTTATCGTTGGGAGTCCCCACACCATGAAGATCTACATTAAAGGCTTGCGACATCAGGGAGGGTGAGAGCCACAGTGCTGGAAGAGTCTGGATTTTCTGACAGCTGGAGAGCGCAGGCTGAGGGGGCTTCTTAAAGTTAAGGTGAAGGTAGAGACTGAAGGGAACGGGTATTTAAGGGGAAAGCCAGTGTGCTGTTATGGAAGGTAATAGGAGAATGAGTTCAAGAAGGGAGGTCAGTCTTGGGAGTTTGTCTACCACAGAATTACTGTCAGAAAGAGCGAGTCTGTTGGGGAGGAATCTACAGAAATGGAGAAACCCCATTTCAGAAGGTCTATGCCAGGCTACACTAGGTTTGAACCTGGGAGTGGACACAGCCCCTGACTGTACATCACCAAGCAGGAATGCCCCCCTGGAGCAGTGGGGCAGCAGAAGCCCGTGCAGAGATGAACTCTTTTTGTAAAGCTTTGAAGCAGAGTACAGAGGTCTCTGAAGGTGGAACTGAAGACCACACTCTGAGATGACTTTAAATATTTGTTTTTTGAGACAGGGTCTCATGTATCCAGGCTAGCCTCACACTATGTAGCTGAGAGACTAGCCTTCACTCCTACCTTCCTACCTCTGCCTCTGAATGCTGTAGTTAACAGGTATGTACCAACATGACTGGCTGAAGTCTTAGTATCTGAGGATACACAAGTGCGAAGGTGCTCTTCAGGTCAAAGTGTGGCAGAAACTGAGAGGCCTGCTCAGTTTTTCTGTTCCCCAGGGGCGGTATGGTACCTTTCTTCTGGGAGTAATTACAAAGCAATGCTTTCCACAGTACTTGGACTTAGGTTTTCTTAGATAACAGGCCACATTTGTCCAGTCTTCTGGGCATCTGCATTGGCAGTTTCCCATTCATTGTGAAAAGAAAGGTTATTCTATGAAGGCAAGTCACAGCAGTTTCTTTTTTAATTTTAGGAAAAGGGCTGGAGGGATGCCTCAATGGTTAAGAACACTGCATGCTCTTAACCCAGAGGACCTGGGTTCATTTCCTAGAGTCCACATGGCATCTCACAACTGCCTGTAACTCTAAGATATGACACCGACACACAGACATGTGTGAAGCAGGCAAAACACCAATGCATATGAAGAAAAAGAAATTATTTAGGAAAATGAGGCCTAACTGATAATCATAGATCCAGGTATGGTTTTGACCCATCAGGAAGACTGAAACCCAGAGTGTTGACAATACTGAGTGCAGCTGCAGCACAGGTGCTTTGGAAATAAACTTGGCACATTCTTAAAAAACTAAATACACTTTCACATGATCCAAGAGTCACAGTAAAGTATTTGCCAAAATAAATTGGAAACAATCAATCATACCTTCCTCTATATAGATGCCCAAACTTGGAAGCAATCAAAAGATACCTTTTCACTGTCTCTGACATGAACTGACTGGCCTGCTCTTTGATCACTTCCCCCTGAGCGGGGAGCAGCCTTACCAGGCCACAGAGGAAGACAATGCAGCCACTCCTGATGAGATCTGATAGACTAGGATCAGAAGGAAGGAGAGGAGGACCTCCCCTATCAGTGGACTTGGGGAGTGGCATGCATGCAGAAAGGGGAGGGAGGGTGGAATCGGGAGGGGAGAAGGGAGGGGCTTATGGGGGGATACAAAATGAATAAAGTGTAATTAATAAAAAATTAAAATAAATAAATAAATAAAATGTGGAAGATACCCTTTCACAAATAAGTAGATGTGTTGTTAAAAAGAAAGAAAATCAGCTAGGCAGTGGTGGTGCACACCTTTAATCCCAGCACTCTGGAGGCAGAGGCAGGCAAATCTCTGAGTCCCAGGACAGCCAGGGCTACAAAGAGAAACTCTGTCTCAAAAAATCTAAGTAGGAAAGAAAATCCCAGTCATTCTATTTTACCAATGAAGCCAGATGCTGGGTGAAAGCCTGTTAGCTCAGAGAGGCAGAAGCAGCACCTCGCTGACCTTCCTCCTCATCCGACATCTTAGAAGGAAAAAGCCCTTTCTCCTCCTTGCTGTCTTAAACACCCTTCACTCACTGTCCCTCTTTCCTATGTTTTCTTAAGTCACCTGGCTGCTTGTTCCACCTCTTGACCATGATTGGCTTTCTGGCTTTACTTAACTCTTGCTCACAAAAAGCTCTTGGTTTAAAGGTGTGTGCTAAGGCTGAGCCATACCACAATAAGAAGCAGAGCTTTCCAGTTCACAATCTTGGGGTTTACAATGTGATCAAATATACTGCAACATGGCTAAATAGACTTCAGTAGAGCCAGACAAACGGAAAAGTGCAAAAAAGCTATCAAGCTGAGAAAGTATATGCATAGTAGTAAGCGAAAAAGAGCCAGTTTGAAATGCCCACATACTGCATGATCTTGATGATGTCTTCTGGAAATCTAGCCGTTCTACAATGTGCATATTTCAAAACTATGTTATGTTGTTGTTTTTTCCGAGACAGGGTTTTTCTGTGTGTGTAGCCCTGGTTGTCCTGGAAATCGCTGGCCTTAAACTCACAGAGATCCATCTTCCTTTGCCTCCCAAGTGCTGGGATTAAAGTACAGTATATATGCTATAGTATACATATACGTATATATAGTATATATGTATGTATGTATATGAAATGAGGACATATTTAAATCTGTCCTCAGGTTAACAGTACGCATAGGAATTAAACTGCATTACAGACCTAACTGTAAAACCTGAGGCTGCATGGGTGATGTGTATCATTCCGTTTCAGGGTATACAACTGATAGGACCTTAGCGTGAACATCAGGCTACAGCTTGTAGCAACAGACCTGGCAAAGACCTTATCGTGTCTGAAATCATGAAGAACTCTTATAGCTTAATAATAAGGAAAACAAACGTCAGGCCAAACCAAACACCCAACTAGGACAACTTTACAAAGAAAGTATAGTAGTGGTCAATGAGCACTGAAAAGGTAAGGTACTTAACGTTTGTCACAGTGGAAACAACAGTCAATATCCACTAAAATGGCTCAGACAGAACACTGAGAACTCCCACTGTTGGCAAGAACAAGATAGAATCAGAACAGTCCAAAACTGTCATCAGGAGCATAAAGCGGTCTAGCCATTTCCAGAAGGGTCTTTGGCTGGTTATTCTGGTCTTACAGGTTTTCATCTGAGAAGAACCTGTTCAAGCTCTTGTTGGTGAGAGCTTATTTACCTGAAAGTAGAAGCCTGTATGTACTCAGCAGCCATAAAATATAGAGCTCTGTGAAACATGGATGACTCTAGAACATGCTCAGTGTGCAGCTTTATGGAGGACCAGGCAGCGGAGTTTCATGATAAACCCCAGAACAGGCAAAGCTACTTGTCATAGAGAAAAAAAAAAAAAAAAAAAGTTGACTCAGGGTCAAGGTTAGGAATATGGAGGAGGCATGGATTTACCTGGTGATGGAAACACATCTGCTAAGACTTACCGAGTGATACACATACGTTGACCTAAAATACAGCAAAAGAAGAGAAAACTGGATTACAACAGTTAACAAATGGCTTCAAATGCTTTAGAGACTACAATGCAGACTAAATGGTAGGGTTACCTGCTTTTAGTGGCATAGCCCTCCTCCTCGTGGTGGCGCAGTTTTTCAAGTGACTGCAGTAGGGAATGTATAGTCTCCAAGACACCTGTGACTGGCTGGGGGATTTTTCAAAGCCTCTGTCTCCTCATTAGCCCCATGTGAGCTCTTCTTCAGAAGCGGGCACAGCCTCCAGTGGAGGCCACAGTCACCCCTGCTGAGGCCCACCCACACTCGCCCAGCTTCTTTCAGAAAGGCATCATTCTCCAAACAGGTCTGCGTGCACTCGTTCTCGGCAATGAGGTTTTTACCTGTTCTGTTGTGTTTTTTGTTTTTGTTTTGCAAGACAGGGTTTCTTTGTGTAACAGTCCGGGCTGTCCTGGAACTTACTCTGTAGACCAGGCTGGCCTTGAGATCCCCCTGCCTCCACCTCCCAGGCACTGGGATTAAAGGCTTGTGCTACTACCACCTGGCCCAGTTACTATCTTCCAACATACAACCTGGTACATCTGTTGACAAACACTTGACTTGCTGCCACAGCTTGCCCTGCAAATTCTCAAGGGAAAGCAAGCGTGAAGTCACTGGCCAAGGCAGGCGCTCACTACCCTTCTCCTCGTAGTCTTCACTAGCATCACCAGCCACACCTGGACAGTATTTGAGCCTTTACTCAGGGAGGAGCTGAACAAATAATGTAAAGAAAAGAACACAGTTTACTAAACCTTGGCTTTAAGAAAGTTATCTCTTCTCACTCTGGCTTTCCTAATAGGCTGAAACCCTGGCGTGCACACCTGTAACCTCAGCACCAAGGTCAGCCCACCTGAGAAAGAAAAGTGTAGAAACATTTTTTGAGACAGGGTCTCACTGTGTAGTCTTGAATGGCCTGGAATTCATTCTGTAGACCAACCAGGCTGGCCTCAAACTCTGAGGTTTACCTGTTTCTGTCACCCAGAAAACTAATTTTAACTGAGCCTGCTTAGAGGCAGCCAACATTCTCCTTAATGTTCGTTTTCAATTTCAAGAGGCATAATTGTGTAGGCTTCAGTTTTCTCTGAAAAAGAGTTAAGATTTTCCTTCTTACCCAAATCAGAGGCAAGATCTGCCATTCCAGGAGCAGCTGGTGTGAGTGGTCCTTGTCCGTGGGCAGACATCTTGCACTTTGGACTAGAGAGATTTTAGTTCTTTGAAGTGGCTGTGTGCCACCTTCAAGGAACCCATAGCAGTAGCTTCTGAGACTGTAAGGCCTGACAGGCCTACTTCTGAGGCTCAGCTCGAGGGAAGCCTAACCCGATGGCAAGGAACAAAGAACAAATGCTTCAGCAACCAAGTGCTATGCAAATCACAAGCTCTGTCCAGAGTGAGGTGAGAACAAAATCAATTAGACTTAGGATCCCGGAAAGGTAAATTGTTTTAATATTTTTAAAAGCACACAGAAATCTTGATTTATTAAAAAAATAAATATACAACATGACACATTCATGATCCTGGGGCTCTTATGAGGCGCTCTCTTTAATGGACTCTTTAGTGGACGCGTCAAAGCAAAACACAAAACTCATGATGCGCTCTAAACAGAAGCACATTCCAGTTGTAAAGCACATCTCTTCAAGGCTCAGAAAGAACGAGTACCAGTCTTCTGCTACAGAAAGCACTTCCAGGGCTGAGCAGCGAGGCTGAGCCCAGGCCACGGGGCCTTTTCCCAGTCAGCCCCATGTACAGACTGAGCTGGGGGCAGGAAGGCATGGTTCTTCCAAGCAGAGTGATCAGGTGGCCCAAGGACCCCCAAGCATGTCCAGCCTGAGACCATAAAGCACAGAATTTGTTCTGTCCTTTCTGGTGCCTCTGACCAGTGTCTTGAGAGCAGGAGGCTGGGAAGATACACATATCAAACAACTGTCACTGTTAACCGTGAGTGAAAAACTTGATTCTGCCAGAAGCATAAGTCTCCTTATGACTGCCTCCTCCAGATTTTCTGAGTGGTCAGGCTTGTGGGGAGAGAGACCCCTTCTCTAGTGGGCCAGGAAAGAAGTGCTTTCTGTGGCTGGACGAGCTCCCCAGAGTCAAGTGTGTCACACCATACCTTATGGAACATCTACTGGGGATTCAGGAATGGAGGTTTGAACCTTTGTAACAACATAAGAACAAAAATCCAGTCATTAGTAGATAGTGAAGTTTCAATTAAACCTGAAGTGTTTTTATGTAATTGCCAACAGGCTGGAATGTATCTGTACAGTTTAATCTGCTATGATTTCTTTGGCTGTCTTCCAATTAGATCTAGGAACTGTCTGACATCCACAGGCCTATTTCCCAAGCTATGTTCTTCCTGGAATTCTTAAGATGGTGGTTTTCATTCCTCACACAACCATCTACAGCCCTCCTAATCAGGGTGTACTTCTGAGTAGAAGAGGCCTTCAGCTGAAATGGCATCACCAAGGCCCACAGTTCGAACGGGGTCTTTACATACCAATACAGGTGTGAAGTGGAAGGTTATTCCCTCCCTGTGCCACTCCACCACTGGCTTATTTGGGTTTAATACAATCTTGGAGCCGGACTCCGAATGAGATGTCATAAACTCCTGAGGTGCCCTTAGAGATACTCGGCTGGCATCTATGGTTTCAGTGGCACAGGCTTGTGTCCCAGCCACTCGAGCTCCCGCAGCTACAGCTGCAAGCTGGTTGGCCCAGTGTCCGTCCACAGTTGCCAGGATGTGGTAGACCAGCGTGTGAAAATGGATCCTGGTGAGATCTGAGGATCTGCTTTTACTTCTCCCATGTTCTTTCAAGATCCAGAAGAGGATGTCACTGACCATGCCTACGTCAGGAACACCATCCCAGGAGGAGAGAGAAGCATGGGGTCCAGATGCCGACTGGCTGAGAAACAGCAGCTCCTGTTCATTCAGCCCAAGAGAAGTCACTGCGGGAAAGACCTGCTAACAAAAATAACGACAGGTCTCTTCGATGGGCACGACCTAGCTCCTTGAGCATTAGGACAGAGCCAGTGACTAAAGGTCCTCCTTCTCAGGCCCGTCTTTGAAGTCAATTTCAGGCATTGAATCTCTTAAGTCTCCAGCTCCATGACCACTTGGGGAGTTACAGTTGCTCAATGCCCTGCAGACCCAGTCTTGTCATGTGCCACTGTAAAGGCAGAGGGCAACCCTGAGGCTCTTCCCTGTGCCTTTGGCCTCTGCAGACAGAGGGCTCATGGGTGGCAGCACACATCCTTCCTGGTACACTCCCATGTTTTCCTATCTATGCACAAAATAACACTGGAACTACACCTGAAACTGACGAGATTTCTGAGGGCAGGTGTGGGGAGGGAGCAGAAGAGCTGGACAAAGGAGCTCTTAGCCTGTATCTTCACACTCTCTGGGTATAGGTTCATGTATTACCGAAGCTTATTAAGCTAATGAGTAGCCAGCTGACATGCCAGCCCAGGTGTGAAAAGCCTGGGTTCAGGTCTGGCTCACTGGGACTTATCCACACCATCCCTGCTGTCTAAAGGGAGGTGATCTCAGATACCTAGCACTGGGGAGTCATGGTCACCCAAAATTTGTGTCTAATTGAAAGCTGAGTTGGGCTTTCAGATTTTGTCCTGAAATTTGCAAAAACAAAAACACAACAACAAAAAGTCCACCCTTCACTTCAAAAGAAGAAATGTGGCTCAGGCCTATCGGTTACACTGCCACAGTCCTAGCCCAGTGGAAACATTATCCTGAACATTCCTAGATCCATCCGGCTCCCCTGTACTCAGATCTGAGTGACGCAATGCCCACCTGTCAGTCGTAAACCTGTCACAGCCCAAACACCTTGTCTTCTGGGAGAGAGGGATTTCCTTTAGAGGCCCCCAGGGCCAGAGGTGGCCTGTGAACAGCCATGTGGTTACCTGCTGCACAATGCTGCTCATGAGCTCCCTGTTGGTCATACTGGCCAGCTCTAGGTGGACTGGAATACCCGTGGGAATGTCAGAAATGGAGGTGACAACCTGCGGAGAGGAAGCAGGGGCATTAGGATAGAAGTCAGACAACAGGGAAGGCAAGATTAGGTTCCGGGCAGCTCAGACGCACTCAACACACCCTCTGCATCCTCACGAATTTATACAAGCGGTGCCTGTCCCACCTCCTCTGCGGCTAACAGCCGCTTTCCCAGTAGAAAAACTCTGCTCTTAGGGAGCCACCAGGGCTACACACTCAGAGGACACAGAAGTGCTCCTGTATGTCTATGTTGTCTCCTAGCCCTGCTATCTACATTGAGCAGCTGGCCCCACTGTAGACAGGCCTGCAGGAAGCACAGCACAGCTGATGTGAAGTGAGATGACAGAAGACACAGGACATAGCACAAAGCTACGGCTTGCAGCCACACTCAGTGAAACATGGGATGCACAAAGGCTCAGGCAAGGTCTCCTCAGTTGCCCTACTGCTGCTACCTTGACTGAGCGGAGCCTAAGGCAAGGCAGCATCAGCTTGAGGCTTGGTGGCAGAAGCCTGAAGGAGAACACCAGCTGAGACCTGTGGATCTGTAGCAGAGCTATTACCTCCAAGAGCCTCTTCCTCTGGAAGTCCTTGCTTTGTCCCTCCATCATGTGCAATCCAGAGAGGACCACCAGGTCAGGCTGGAACTCCTCCAGGCTAGACACAAACACCTCCAGCATATTCATGGCCCCGTTGGAGAGGTCGTGAGAGAAGATGAACCGGTTGGCATGGGGAGCTTTAAACGGGCCCCACTCCTCCCCTAGAGAAGCCCAGTCAACACAATGGGAAGAAAAGGAAGAAGCTTTCAGTCTTCCAGCTGCAAGGCACTTGAAGGTACCTCACAGGAGCCCTGGCTTTGAGCAGTCTGGCCTGTGGCCATGCAGACCCCTACACAGGTGTAAAGTCAGCAAGGGTGCTGCATCCAGGGTGGGACTACAGTAGCTAAAAAACAAATCAAAAGCTAAATCCAACTCAATACAGAAACAGACACGTAGGATGAGTCCTGTGCCTTTGAAAGGTCATCCGCTTCCTAGAAAGCTCTGCTGCCTGAACTCAAGCGTGCAGAGCACATGACTGGCGCATACCAGCACACAAGGACATATCAGCATACACAGCATACCAGCACATCCAGCAGAAAGGCCAGGCTGCCCTCCCATGGGCCGCACCCTGAGCAGTTTTCACCTAGCTGGAAGCTAAACAGGCCAAAGACCTGAGCCTCGCTGCCTCGCCTCTTCTGGCTGTCCCCTGGAGGCTCTGAGCTTGTGGTCTAGACTTATTTAGCTGTTCTGAGCATTTCCTTGCAGAACTGCTTAGGATTGGTGACTGTTCAGTGGTAAACTAAAGTGCTCTTCTTCCCTAAATTTGTCCTGCTGCTCCAGCCATATGAAGGTGCCCTTATTCCTTGGCAGAACCATTAACGTGCCCTATTGGGACCTGGCATGGCTCTGCACTGACCTGCTAGGTATCCATCTACAGCCACTGAGCTGAGGGCAGGCAAGCTTGTGCCTCCCTCATCACATCCCACTGCCTCACAGCACACTTGCCACAGCCACAAGAACGAATTAGCAAAGAACAAGAGAACAAGAAAGTAGACAGATGACCTAAATTTAGACCACAAGGACAAAAAAATCCAACACTTGTGCAATCAACTGCACAATGGTAGAAATGCCATACTTTCTGACAGTGCTAGGAAGAACCACAAAGCTTAGCCTAGGGGAAAAGAACCACACAGATTAAAAGCAACTCAACTGAGTTCTTCAAGGAATGATGAGGCAAAAGTAAACAAGCTTCTGCAAGGCCAGAGGAGAGAGAATGTACAGAACTATTTCCACAAGACACAGGACTGATGGAGTAGCCTGAGACGATGGAGCTCAGCCAGTAATAGCAGCTAGCGCTCCTTTCATCACGAAACTCAGTATTCATTTCTGTAAGCAATTTCTTCTCTCAATTATCAACTAAGTGAAACCTCTGCAGTGACTCACTTGATTCCCAGACCAAAGCTAAAAGTGAGGTTTTCTGGGGTGCTCTGGTAAGAGAGAGAAGAGGAGAAAAAAGTAAAAGTTGACAGATGTGCTTGGAATTTACCAATCTAGGCTACAGAGCAGCCCAGAACAGCCTCTGTTGAAGCTGCCCTAAGGGCTGCTGTCACCTGACTGTTTCTTCCTGGAGCCTGTGGCAGTAGCTTCGAGTGAGGGTAACAAAAGGCCACTGCTTTGACTAAGGGAAAAAACAAAACAAAACAAAACAAAAAAAACCAACAAAACAAGGCATCCAAAAGAACAGAAATGTGAGGCTTATCACGCGAAGGACAGTGACTCTCCTTTTGGGACAGCCAGTCCTGTCTCCACTCCCAATTCACCATGAGAAATTAATTGCAAAGTGCCCATGCAGGCATGGGTGCCTACAGAGGGCGCAGGAGCAGGCCCCAGACAAACACCTCAGCTATCTAGAACATTCCAGGCAGTGGTCCCAAAGCAGGCCACAAGCTCTACACCGGCTCCCAAGTTCATCCTCGACACCATGTTTAGTGATAAAAGTGTCACACCCACTTCCCATTTGGGGAAACTGAATCAGCAACTCAAAGTTTGTGTATTATGAAAGGTCGATTTCCTAGTAAAACAATCTGCTTCTAATTTTAGATCTGCCCTCCATAAGCCCCCAACTGTTTCTAGTATGTACCAGAGAGAACTTGAAAACAACCAATCCCTTTTGTGTTCTTGCAGAAAGGGGTACTTTTCAAGAAGCATATATTGTACCTCACGTGACCATTACTTACGCTAGGTGTGGGTCTCTGTCACTGAAGTGACTCACTGAAGAGCATTAAGTACCGCTGTAAGGATGCCCATTACTGTGTGGATGCCCAGTCCTTTAACGTGAATGATGTGTTGACTCAGAAACTAAAGAGTTCTTGAGCACAGGAGAAGACATAGCAAGAAACACACAAAATCCCTTGTGCCCAGGTACTGAGTCAGCCTTCCTTTCTTGTAACATAAAATCCTCTGGGATTGTTATTTTGCATTCATAAGTACTAGAATATTATGTAACAGGAAGAAATATAAATAATTCTACATTCCACCTCCAGGAAAAAAAATGAAGTGCTCCCATGAAAGCTCACCAGACCAATTGCCTGGCACCAATCGCAAGCAACCTGGAAGGGCTGTGTCTGAAAAGTCCCAGGCAGAATCCGGGAGAGCTGAGCAAGTGTTTACTGCCTTCTTAGCTCTTGGTAATAAAGGAAAACTGCATTATAAGCATAGGCAGAATACATTTTCACTTTAACCACTTTAAGAGAGAGCTCTCCCGCAGCCTCTTTCCGCAGATCCATCCCTGTGGGAGCACACTGCCTTCATTGCTATTGTACTCTGGCACCCTATATGGAGACAATGGCCACTACTAGCTCCTTAGGCCAGTGGGCTGGAAAATCTCTGGTCCAGGAGCCCAAACAGGGGACTGCTATTGACAGGGACTTCTGGCACAGCCCCACCCTGCACGACTGGCCTGAGCCACCATCCCACCAGTACTCAGGGACTCCTCCCACCCACACCCCACCTTCCTTACCTGCCACGTACTCTAAAATAAGGTGGAACTCATCCACTTCCTGCAGTGACTCTGGTGGAACAAACACATTGTCATCAAGAAGTTCATGCAGCTTTGGACCAATTGGACCACAAAGAAGAACCTGGATAATAAGATAAGCAACATCAAGTCACTCTCCCGGGAGATGAGTTCCTATCATGCAGACTCCAACAGTAACCAGCAAGATAGCAGACTCCAACTGACCCTCAAAACCTCTTGTTTTGGAAGTTTGTGATATTGGGGCTCTTCATTACCAGGGCTTAGGCCTCTAAGGTATGACCTCACTGTACCTAGTTTTGCAGAATGACGAAGTCCTAGTTGTTCAGTATCTATGCAACTTCTGTGGCCCACACTCAGTTACAGAATCAGTGTGTCTCCCTCAAGTCCAGATACTAAAGGCCTAAAACCCTAGTGTGATGCTGTTGGAGCTACAGCCTTTATGAAGAGATGACTAAATATGGTCTTAATCAAATGGACCTAGGAGAGAAAGACCTGCACACCTACAAAAACCCAAACTGGAACACAGTTGGCCACCCATAAGTTAGCAAAAAAGCCCTTACACTTCCATGAAACCTTCGTTTTAGACCTTCAAACCTCCAAAACTGAGAAAGCAAATTTTTGTTTTAATACAGTTTACAGTATTTTATTACATGGTAGCCAAGGAGACATGCGTGCGTGCGTACACACACGCACATACAAACACACTCTGTTATCAGGAGTGGGGTGGGTATGTTTCTTTTCCTGAGATGGTAGGCTAGCTAAGTAGTCTAGGCTGGCCTCACACTCACCCTCTGCCTGCCTTAGCCTCCTGGGTGGCTGGGATGGCAAGAACGCATGCTGTGTGAGGCTCCTACACAGCATTTTAAAAACTACCTTGTATTCCGTGTAAGCAAAAAGACATGGAGTGTTTGCTCAAAGCTGCCAGATAAAAATACTTCCTTGGAATTTTTACACAGAATGGGGAAAAAGGCCTACTGCTTTTCACCAGACTTCAATGGCCAGCGACTTAATCTGTCAGATCGCACTCTCCCACTATGCTTAACTGTTGCCTGACCACATAACCCTTCACGTTTAGGGGCCAAGCTCTGCAGCTTTTCTACACCCTTTGTCTTCAAGCCGAAACTGCCCATTCTCCTGCCTTCCGCCCCCTCCCCAGCCACCTGCTGTTAGCTCTGGAAGCCCCTTCCTACCCTGGCTGGACCACAGTCCAGTGCAGTTTCTGTCACACCCCTCAAGGCCAGACTAATAGACTCAAAACATGAAGAAAGATTCTGAAAAGTCTCTAGAAAGCATTAACTTTGGTTCGTATTGAGACATCTTACTCAGACACTTCAAAGCCATATTCATTGGCAAATGAACTCCTTACCTTGTACTTGTTTTGCACAAATAGACTCTTTGGCTTCCAAAGTAAAAATATACTCCTTCCCTGCTTTCCATATGAAATGAGCCTCTTGGTATTTCTGAAAATTCTGAGTCCTGCCACTTTCTTTCCTTCCCCTAATTCTTGCCTAGACTTTTAATTCTGAGATAGTAAGAGACACATGCCTAAAACAACAAAAAATAGGTCAAATACAGGAAGTGACGGTTTCAAAGCACTTGGACATTAGGCAGAGTATAGTGATTCATACAACGTCCAAATGAACCTGTTGAGCCCTACAAATACATCCTTGCACAAAAGGGCTTCAAAAGACCTTCAAAACCTGGAAAGATTTATGACTCACTAGCAGATCCTCATCAAAGGAATGTTGTTAATAAAAGGAAGTCCTTCAGGCGGAACAGCAACAAGAGGAGGTAGAAATGTGGATCAAGAACAGAAACAAAGAGCAACGGAAATGCTGACTCTAGAGACACAGCTGCTTACAAGATAAAAATAAAGGAAGACACAAACAGCACAGTGGAGGATCCTAACCCTGTGTAAAACAGGTGTAGCAGTAACAGTACCCTGAGATGGCTCAGGGTGTAAAGGCACTTGCCGCCAAGCCTGATGACCGGAGTCTAATCCCTGGGGTATGGTAGAAGAGAAATGACTTCCTCAAGTTGCCCTCTGACCTCTGTAAATATCCACGTGCATGCTGTGGCACAGGCACACCCACACATAAACACGAAGTGAATATATAAACAATATATAAACTGGGCGTGGTGACACACGCCTTTAATCCCAACATTCCAGAGGCAGAGGCAGGTGAATCTCTGAGTTCAAAGCCAACCTGGTTTACATAATGAGTTCCAGCCCACCCAGGGCTAGAGTGAGACCCTAACTCCAAACAAAGAAAATATATCTACATATATAAATAAGCAAAATGTAAAAAAAAAAAAAAAAAACTATTTTAAAAGGAAGTAAGTACTAAAATCTAGTATATTACAAAATATAGCATGGGGGGGGGTAGGTTTGAAGTCCTTATAGGAAGCATGTTAGAGCATGGATGTGCACTGTGAGGTGTGGTCATTCAAAGAACAGAGAACTCACAGGCTTCTGTTGAGACTGACGGAATACTCCTGTCTCAGCAGCAAAGCCAGCCCAGACACTGTTCCTGCAATTACTAGAAAAGTTAAAAGTTTTACCTAGTTTCTGGCTTCTATGTAGACTAAGTCACACTTCCCAAAAAAGCTGTCAGTCAGAAATCCCCATTTCTGAGAGACCTGCAAGCTCTTTCAGTACCCCTCGCCCCTTCATGATCCACAAGGCAGCTCTCTCCCCTATGGCAGGTGCTCGCTACTCCTATCCCCCTCCTGTAATGGTCTTCCGAAGGTGATCATGTGTCAGCTCCTTCCCAGGAACCTGTCATTCTGCTTTTTTCTTACTGTTTCTAACACATTGTTGTAACAAATTGTGAAATGCTGTTTTCCAGGAATGACGTTATCATTGTTCTTTTGAACTTTAAGCAGCTGTGATCACCTGTACCAATACTGTGCCCATTAAAGACCTTCACTGGGGAAGAAGATTCATTAGGCCCCAAACTCACACGGCCTGCCCGCCCCTCCCCCGTGCTCTCCACTCTTAAAAGCAGCACTAATTAAGCTCATTGGTTTTGCAGGCTAGACCTGAGTGGATTCCTCACTTTGGTCTGCTGGTGGTTGCCCTATCTGCACAACAGACATTTGTTTGTCTCCCAGGGAAAGATTCACACAACTGTGATAAAGAAATATAGGGCCAGAGAGATGGCATGATGCTTAGGAGCACTGGCTGCTCTTCCAGAGGACCTGGGTCCAATTCCCAGCACCCACATGGCAGCTATCAACCATCTGCACCTCCAGTTTCAGGAGAAGTGATGCCCCCTTCTGGCTTCCATGGTCACTGGACATATGTGTAATGTACACTGCACATATGTGATGTACAGACATACATGAAAGCAAACACCCATACACATTACAAAAACTTCAATATAAACCTTAAAGCAACTGCTGAAATAGCAAAACCAAAAATTATAGCTAACAAGTCAAAAAAGATAAAAGTTAAATGGAACAGAATACAAAAGAATAAAAAACAGTAAAAGAAGAAGATTAAAAGATAGGACAAGCTGAAGAGATGGCTCAGGCTTTTCCAGAGGTCCTGAGTTCAATTCCCAGCAACCACATGGCAGCTCACACCCACCTATAATGAGATCTGGTGCCCTCTTCTGGCATGCAGGTGAACATCAGGCAGAACATCGTTTACATAATAAAATCAATAAATCTTAAAAAAAAAAAAAGAAAGAAAATTACCCCTAATTAAAAAAAAAAAAAAAAATAGGGCAAACACCAACAAATGGCAAGATGTCCTTTTTAAAGTTTAACCCAATTTGTCAACAGCAACATTAAATGTAGATGATCTACATACCTCACTGTCTTAGGTACTGATCTATTGTTGCAAGGAGACACCATGACCAAAGCAGCTCCTATAAGGGAAGAGTATTTCACTGGGGGCTTGCCCACAGTCTTAGAGACAGCTCATCGTCGGCATGGTGGAAAGCAGCAGGTATGGTGCTAGAGCAGTAGCTGAGGGCTCTACATTCTGATCCACAGGCGGTAGACAGACTGGGCCTTTGACACCTCCTCAAGGCCACAATTATTTCAACAAGGCCACACCTCCTAATTCTTCCCAAACACTTCCATTCCCTGGTGACTAAGTATTTGCATATGTGAGCCAATAGGGGCCATTGTATTCAAACCACCACACCCACCTTAATGGAGAGATTATGAAACTAGAAAAAAGCAAGTCCCACTATATACTATCTACAAAAAACTCATTAAATATGAATATGCAAATAGGCTATAAACACAAGGCTATAAAAAGATATATAACACACCAACACACTAACTGGGCAAAGGCCGGAGAACAGACAGTGGTAACTTTGACTTTGTGCAGCTTTGAGAATTGAGCATCAGTACCAGAGTTAACAGTAGATGTTCACAGCTTGGCTGGTGAGGAACTAGAACAAGACAGGAAGTGACACAGGATACAGATTTATCAACTTGTTCCTAAGTTCTTAGACAAAGACAGAACAGCCCAGAAAATCATAGCCCTTTGCATTCTTTCAATGGCCACTCAACAAAGGAGCATGTGTGTAAAAAGAAGAAGAAAGAAAGAAAAAAATCTGGTCACCCAATAGTAGCAATAAGTAGCATGATAAAGAGATTTCTCCTGCTGGGTTAGTCACCAGGAAGGCCAACAGAATACAATAACAGTAGAAGTTAGTAGGAGAATGACTTGTAGAAAACTCTCAAGTATATAGGAACCAACCAACACACCTCTAGTCCATCAATGGGCTAGTAAAGGGCACATCTTAAGAAATCAAAGAGATAACAGAAAGTTTTTACCTAATAATAGTAACCTTTCCAACTGAAAACACAAGGTCCAGGGAATAGTGAATTCTACAAACATTTAGGAGGGTATAATAAATATAAAAATTCATATAAATTCTTTTCACAAACTTGATGTGAGGCAGGCAAAATGGCTCAGCAGTTAAGATACTTGTTGCAGCCTAATTCGATCCCCAGAACCCACATGGTGGATGGAGACACCCAATTCTGAGGACTATTTTTCTGACCACCAGAAGTGAATTGTGGCATGAGGTACATGTGCAACCCCCCCCCCCCGCCCTCAAAGAACAACAACAGAAAACCGTAAAGGAGGAGGAAATATATCTCAACTAATTCTACTATATAATGGCATTATTACACTCAGAGACAGACAGACATGTGCAGCACTGAAGTTCGAACCCAGGGCTTGCACATGCTAAGTAAGAACCGAACCACTGAGCTAGATCCCCAACCCTCACAAATGCCTTTTTAAGGGCACTGCTCTCTCCTGCCACCTGACCTCACTTTTACTGTTGCACTAACTTGCCTTTATTAGATTCCCCAAGTCAACTTCTAAGAAACAGGGTACAGTTCTAGAGCTAGACTTACTGCAGCTCTAATCATAGGTCTGCTTAAGACTAGGCAATGTAACCTTGAGCACCTCACTGTCCTATGTCCAAGGGGGATAATAAAAGAACTTCCCTTACAGGCCCTGTGAGGATTAAATGAGTGAGTGAGTGTGTGTGTGTGTGTGTGTGTGTCTGTGTATCAAACAATGCCTGGCTATAGTAAGAACTATGTATGTGTTAGCTCCTGTCTCTACTCTAGAAAATCTAGTTCTTAATTTCTGGTAGTTCTAGGGAATACTAGGATGCAGCTGGGCAAGTTAAACTCAGTTACCAAGAGAGCAGTATAGGAAGGTAGTGTTTGAATCGTAGCTCTGCCATTTTCTAGCTTAGGTGACATTGGAGACCCCATTTAGCCTCTCTGGACTTAATTACAAAAATCAAGAAATCATTAGACTATTGTCAGGACAGAGCAAGAAACGTCTTTTCTCCTCTCAAAGCCAGGTTTGTTTATTATCATATCTTCCATTCAGACTGATCCTAAGCCTCTCCAAAGACAAAACAAACGCTGCCCACAGGAGAGGCCATATGAATGGTTTAAAAAAGTAGCACCTGAATGAGTAGTTTTCTTTTGCAAAGAGTAGAGGGGGCGGGCAGTTGGAGGTTATTGGCATTACACTGAAATCAGCTTTGGTAAATCTGTTTCCCCTCTTTTGGAAGCTCTAGTTCAAGCTTTGTTTTACAGTACAATAGCAACTACTGCCACACTGCCCCCCCCCGCACCTATCCCTCTACCTACCCACATTTTACTTTACACATATCATATACAAATAATTAATGTTCATTCACTTGGGAGGTTTGTTTGAATCAGAGTTTTGCTATGTACTCCAACCTGGCCCAGAACTTGTGACTTTGCTGCCTCTTAGGATTACAGACGTGTACCACCGCACCTGGCTATAGAGATCGAGTTCAGGACAGCCAAGGCTACACAGAGAAACCCTGTCTCGAAAAAATAAAAATAAAAATAAAAAAGGGACATCTCCTTAAATCAAAGGTTTAAGACTTGAAGAAACACTTCTACACACGCGCCTCTGTCTCTGGGGTCACTATACCTGACAGCTTCCATGTTTTAGCACTTTAAATCCAGGCTCACCAACACAGGCAGCTCCATTTTCTCTTATCACTCAGAGTAATCTCCTGTCTCAGCCTGACTCCAGAGTGCATGTGCTTTCAGCCATTACACATTCACCATAACATGGGCTCTCAGGCCAGGCCTGTCTACGTGGAATATGAGCTTCTGTCTGTATTAGTGTGAACATCTCTGGGCCTCTCACTTCCTTTCGTAGAAAGCAAGGACAGTCCCATCAATAGCAGAATTAACTAACCTTACAGCACTGCTGAAGAATCAGCCTACACACGGTAAATACCCAAACAGCCTTAGTTCCTGCTATTATCCACTAATACAACAGAGCTTTCTAACCAGATGCCCAGTGACCCACAGACTGAATTAAGGAACCAAGACCCACTCTTGCTCTTAACATTAAGGAAATAATAGTTGAAAGACACATTTTAATTTGGAAATGTGCCCTACCTTTAAGTCTGCGCTGGCGGCAAACCTCTGTCCAATCAAAGCTGCATTTCCTCCTACATAGTGCTGTAAGACAGTTAAGGTTAGAAACCAAACAAGTGTACAATCCAAGCTTAATCATTTCTAAGGTTAAAAATACAGCCCATTTCTACTGCCAAATTCTACACTTTTCTTTGAGATTTGTTTTTATTTTATGTTTACAGGTGTTTTGCTTATATGTCTGTACACCACATGTTTGCAGTACTGGAGGAGGCCAGAAGAGGGCACTGGATCCCTTGAAACCTTGAGCCTTCATGTGGTACTGAGAACTGATCCCTAGTTTTCTGAAAGAGGTGTCAGTGCTCTTAATCACTGAGCACCTAACGTCCCCACAGCATATTTTCTTTTTCTTCCTGGATTCTTGAGACATAGTTTCACGTAGCTCAGACTAGTCTCAAATGTATCTGAGGCTAGCCCTGAACGTCTTCCCTTGGCAGGGATCACGGGCATCTACCACCAGGCTAGCTCCAAACATGCTTTGAGGTGACTTGACAACAAAGGGCACAAATAAAGTTAATAAAAACAAAGCCAGGCATGGCAGTTCATGCCTTTAGTCCAAGCACTTGGGAGGCAGAAGCAGGCTTATCTATGTGAATTCTAGGCCAGCCTAGCCTACAAAGCTCTTACTGTACAGCCAGAGTTACATAAAGAGAGCCTGTCTCAAGCAAAACAAAAACAGACAAGGAATAATAAGGAGGGATGAAGAGAAAAAAATATGAAAATTAGTATGGTTGCTTGAATTAGATAAAATTTAGCCCTGAGCTTCCAGGCAGCTAAAACAGACAATAGAAAACATGAAAGACATGACTGGACCTTCTCCCAAACACTATGATTCCTTAAAGGAACATATATCTATTTCATTCTCCTAAACGTTGTTCAGTACATAAACATATTCTTTTCTCAATATTAGGGACAAAAGATTTAAACCTCAGAAGTCATCAAAGTCAAAGTGGTCACCAAGGTTTGCCTGTGATTGGTACCCATTAAAAATGCATTAACAACCTCCCTAGCTATAACTATAGGCCCTAAATTACCCAAGACCTTTGTTTTATATAAGAGGAAGGTCCTTTTATACATAAGGAAGGAATTATGTGGGGCCTAGAGGTGCTGGGATGAGAGAAATCAGAGCCAAAATTATCCCCCCCCCATTCCAACACATGCTCCAGCCTGAGAACTACCAATCTAGGCCGGCAGATTTCAAACACTGATTTTGCCTCTCTCCCGTTACTACAGGAACTACAGGAGACTGAGATATTTTGGCCATCACGAGTGGGGAATAGAGCCTTGTACTCAGTGGGCCAAGCGAGAGGCTGCTAACAGTTTATAAACACACGCTCCTTCTCGTGGAGCATGAGCCACTCTGCAAACACCCTAAGGTGGTGGTGGTGAATGCCTTTAATCCCAGCACTGAGGAGATAGAGACAGGAGGATCTCTGTGAGTTCAAGGCCAGCCTTGTTTACCAACTGTGTTCCAGGACAGCCAGGGGCATAACACAGAGAAACTCAGTCTCTAAAAACCAAAGCCAACTGCAAACTATACATTAAAAAAAAAAAAAAAAAAAATTACAACCTAACCAGGAGAAGACATTTTTCCAACCGTTAGCCTAGTAAAAAAAATGGGGGGGAGGGGCGAGTAAGAGGGGTAGTAGATAATGAGTGACCCAGAACAGAAATCTGAGTAAAAACAGTAAAAGACATGGCCAACACAGAGTTTTACAGAAAGGGCAAACCCCACAGAATTGGAGCACCATCTCATCGTACAGTGGAAAAGAAAGCTGCTTCTAAGACCCCTGTAAAATGGCTCTCTCCCCACCCGCATACCCGCTCTGTACTCTTAACATAGCTTGGAGCACTGGGGAGTGGGACAGACCTGGGCTTCTGGGAACTCAGATGCAGCCTGGGCGATGTCATGGAAGGTCTTCTTATCACTGAAGAAGCGCTCAGCAGCGGCTCCCTTCCCCATGAAGTGGACGAAGGCTTCTTCCAGATCACTTTTCGAGTGTAGAACAGCATGATCTCTTCCACTCCCAGGACTGAGGCCAAGTGCCTGCAGGAGCTTCACGCCAGAGATCACCACATCCACACAGGCATTGACTCTGGAAGGACAGAGAAGAGGAAAGGAAGCTGAAATGGGGGGTGGGGTGGAGGGGTCTGAATTTAGCTATAGAGACGAGCTCTGGAGAACAGCATTCACACAGCAATTAGCTGGTATAGGTTTGACACCAGAGCAATAAAACAAAACTCATCTAGCTAAAGAATGATTTTTATCTGGACACACACACTAGAGCTCTTTTCAAGAGCCCGCCAAACTTTTATCGCCAGTTGCAGACTGAGAAGACAGGTATTCAGCACTGAGAACAGTATCAGGTAACCAAAATGCATCCATGAAAAGATGCTGGTAGAGCTGTGCTGTCTGGATGCAAGTCACTTTAATTTCTGAATCTCAGCTTCCTTGTTTATAAAATGGCAACAGTCCAAGTTAACTTACAGTAAAGATTTAGTAAATCAATCTATGTTTTAAGGTGTAAAATAAAGTTCTTGTCAAAAGGGAGCTTCCCTTTTCCCTCTAAAGACATCTTTGAGGACACTGATCAGAACAAACTAACTACGGAATACTCTGAGCTGAAGCTGCATCTTCGAACTGAGCGTGGCTTTGAAGACTTGCGCATGCCTGTGGCCTTGTAGCAGCTCAGTACTTGACAGTGTTCACAGAACACAAAACACAGCTTCAAAGGGCTGTGAGAAACCAGTGCAGCACCACCTGATAAGTTGTATGAAATTATAGAGCCTCATAACAAGACCTTGTTTCAGAAAAATAATAATAAATAATAAAAACCACCAAGTGTGTTTGGCTCATGCCTGTAATTCCAAGACTGAGACTGAGACAGGCCAGCCTAGATAGACTACAGTGTAAACCCATCATCAAAACCACAAAAAAAAAAAAAAAAAAAAAAAAAAAAAACAGAAAAAAAAAGTTAGTGACCAGCTACTTATGGGCAGACACCAAGCTAATCATTGTGTCCTTGTCACATCTTTTCACCAGTGAAAGATTTTTCCTCTGGATTTAACAGCTTCGCTCAACATCACCAAGCTCATTGCCTAAGCTTTGCTGTGAAGGGAAAATGGAAAAAACAAAGTAGAGCACAAATTACGCTCACTCCCTTAACAGGAGAGCAAATTTCAAAACATATAAATGGTTGTGTAACATGGAGAAAACAGACATGAACAATTAGGGAACAAACAAGTCAAAGATACCAAATGTGTCCCTAAGGTTTGGGTCAGGGAAGGCACCTAGCTTTCTGGCCTGTCAGCAGAGGCTCGGGGGTGGGGCTCTTCCCAAGCCCCTGAGCAGAAGCACCTCAGAGGCAGGACAGTGCTTATCACTTCCCTGCACTGCAGCCTCTGTAAAAGATTTCCTAAGCTTCCTTCTGGCTTTAACATTCTCTTCCTCACTTATCACAACAACTAATTATAACCACAAGCTATTCAGCTGAAGAGAGTCAATGGCTGGGGAAGCTGGGCCCTGGAAGGCCTCTTTCTGAGGCACAAAAGTCGGGACAGGCATATTCAGATAAGGGACAGTTCCTAACCTTAACCCCGAGTTAGAAAATAGTTTGAGATCAGTAATTAGTCATTAGTCATCCCAGCTCCAGCTGAGAAAAGCTACAATAGAGATTAATATTCTAAACAGCACAGACTGGAGCAGCTTAATTCAATCCTAGCTTCATCTAGAGAAACTTCCTGCAAGGGGGCACAGCAAGTGGAGCTGTGGGGAAACGACTAACCTTGTCTTTTTTTTAAAATTCACTTTACATCCTTGTTGTAGGCCCATTCCTCTTCCCACCCTAGCCTTACCTTCCCTCCCTCCTCCTTCCCCTTTTCCTTGACTAACCTTGTCTTAGGACACAACAAGAATGCTAAGCTAGAGTGGAGAGTTCAGAGAAAGGGAGCAAAGCTCAGGGCAGATTTGGGATGAATGTGAAGTGAAGATGAGGGCTTCATTTTTATCCTGTAAGCAATGGGTACCAATTCAGGAGCAGGGGAGGACTCACATTCCTAGAAAGTCAAGGTGTGCTCCACTTAAGCACTGACATCTCAAAAGCATGCAGCCTGGCCCCAACTCCAGCCTCATTCTCAGAAGCCGCTTCATCTGAAATCCTACAAGAACATGCAGTCCAGTTCTCTGGAGCCCAGCTTACCTTCCTGCACCAACTGCTCCTCTGTCCCTTACTATGGTAACTCTGAGGGCTGAACATGAAAGCAGAAGTAGGACCAGTCTTATATGGTACTTCCAACACGAATGGCTGTGTGAACATGGGGAGGGAACCATTATCTCTAAGACAGCTTATCATCTGTGATGATGGTAATACTTAGAACTAACTGCTTCATAAAGTTGTTTCACCTGCCAGCAATGGTTTGGGTTCTTGATTCCCTTCACCAGAGTACTACAATGTCCTCTTTACCAGGGCCAAGGTGTCCAGATATACCCTTCTTACCAATCACACGAAATTTTGTGTTTTGAGTGAGAAATGAATCAATGTGTCAAACTATAACAGCTAGAAGATGCCTCCGTAGGTGGAAAACCTCAGTGGAAGTTCTTGCCTTGATCAATCTTAAGGCTAAATCTAGTCCCAGCCACCATCCTACTATAACTGTGCACAACTCTAACCTAGAACTGCTCAGCTGAACCCACTCATATCTTAGACTAACGAAGATCATGAAATACGGTTGTTTTAAGTTACTAAGTTTTGAGGTGACTTGTTACTACATAGCAATAGAAAATAGAACATCATCTTCTCAGAACCTTTTTTACTATCCCATCCTGGGAAGAATTGGTAATTTTCTGGAAGAACTGGACTGCCTTGCTCTTATCAGTAGCTGAAATAGCACTTTCCACAACTGTTATGAACAATGGTATCCCCTACCTCACCTCAAATTCCTATGTGGAAACCTTTGGTGGTTTGAAGAATGCGTGGTCCCCAGTTTGTGGAATTGTTTGCGAAGGATTAGGTGGCGTGTCCTTGTTGGAAGAGGCGCATCATAGGGGGTGGGCTTTGAGGTGTCAAAAGTCCATGCCCTTCTCAGCTACCTCTCTGCCTGGTTTTTTTGTTTTTTTTTTTTTGTTTTTTGTTTTTTTTTTTTTTGTTCATTTTGTTGTTGTTTTTACAGAGACAGGGTTTCTCTGTGTTGCCTTGGCTGTCCTGGAACTCGCTTTGTAGATCAGGCTGGCCTCAAACTCACAGAAATCTGACTGCCTCTGCCTCCCAAGTGTTGGGATGAAAAGCATTTGCACCAGCCCCAGCTAGTCTGCCTTCCACTCTAGAATAAACTCCGAGCTGCTGCTGAGCACCATGCCTGCGGCCATATTCCCTGTCATAGGCTCGTCCTCTGTAAGGCCCACAAACTCTCTTCTCTAAATTGCTTTAGTTGTGTTGTTTTGTTATGGCAAAAGAAAAGTAACGAAAGCCAGTGAGGTAGCATTCAGCTGTAATCCCAGCACCCACGGAGGCAGAGGCAGAGTTCCAGGCCAGCCTGGTCGACAAAGCAAGTCCAGGACAGCAGAGGGCTACACAGAGAAACCTTGTTTCCAAAAACAAACAAACAAAAAACAACAAAAAAGAAAAGTAACTAAGACAAACTGCAAACTCCAATGTGACTGTATTTGGACTTAGGGCCTTTAATGGATGGATGTTAAATGGATGGAGAGTTGGCCCCTAATCCAACAGGAATGGTTTCCATGTAGGAGGAAGAGACATCCCTCTGAGGACTATACAGTAAAAATCATGTGAGACCATGAGAAGCTGGCTAGCTGCAAGGTAGGAAGAAAAGATTCCCAGGTATCAGCTTCCCTAGACACCACTCTGGCACCTTGATCTGGGACTATCAGTCTCCAGAGCCACCAGAAACTTTGTGTTGTTTTAAGCAATTAGTCTGAGTTACTCTGTTCTGGCAGCCCAACACCATTAGTACATTAACAAATCTATCCACTTCCAACAAATGCAGCAGAAACCTGGCTTCCTCCATATGTACACCCCCTGAACCCAGCACACACTTGACACAGCTCAAAGAAAGATGACTAAGAATCTGGTAAGAACCTGGAGCTGGTGGAGCACACCTTCAATCCCAGCACTTAGGAGGCAGAGGCAGGCTGATCTTTGCGAGTTCAAGGCCAATCTGGTCTATGTGAATTCTAGGATAGCCAGGGCTTTGTAGAGACCCTGTCTCCAAAACAAAAGAATCTGATAAGGCCAGGCATGATAGTCCATGCCTTCAATCTCAGAACTTGGAAGGTAGAAGCAGGTAGATCTTTGAGTTTGAGGCTAGCCTAGTATACACAGGGAGTTCCAGGAGAGCCTGGGCTACACAGAGAAACCCTGTCATGAAGAAAAATAAATAAAAATAATTTAAAAAACTAAACTAAAAAAAAAAAAAAGTCAAACAACAAATTCAGAAAAGAAGGGCTGGAGATGGCTCAGCAGTTAAGAACATGCGCTGCTCCTCCAGAGGACAGAGTTCATTCCCTAGCACCAGTTTTGGTAACTCACAACCACACGTAACTGAACACCCTTTTCTGGCCTCCAAGGGGACCTGCATTCACATGTACACACCTACCGCCAACACAAGTAAATCTGAAAGTTTTAAATCTTTAAATAAGACTAATAAAGGCTGGAGAAATGGTTCAGTGTTTAGGAGCACCTGCAGACGACCCAGGTTTGAATCCCAGCACCACCGTGACAGCACCAAACTGTCCATAATTCCAGTCCCAGGGGATTGGAGGCCCTCAGCAGGCACTGCATGGACAGACACGATGGCAAAACACCCATACACAGTGAGAGAGAAAAAGAGAACTTTGAAAGAGGTAGGAACTACACAGTAAAAACCTGTGTTTGGATATAAAACTAACTAGTTAACACGTGAGTAGTCTCTAAAGCTAACACAATATTGGGTAAATAACATGATTATTTCATTGATTTAGGTCAATTTTGCTTTACTTTACTCCACATACCCACAACATACGAACAAAAATAGGAGGGTACCTGACAGGCTTATTTTTGCACAGGGCTTTTGTGCAGCACAGGAGGCAGGAGCAGGCAGATCTAAGTCTGAGGCCTCGCGGGTCTACTTACGTTCCAAACCAGCCAAGGAGGCCCTAATTTAAAAAGAAACAAACAAACTCAACAAATCCAACCTAAAGAAAAACATGTCAAAAACTTGCCCTTGACATGATGACAAGAAAATCAAGTCAAATTGGGAGAGGGACTAAGGTTAGTGTCAAAAAATAATTACATTTCTGTGAGTTTTACAAAGAAAGGAGGCACTGTGGTTTGAGAGAACCTTAAAAATATGGGCTGTCACTTGGTATGGGGAAGAAAAGTAGTTTCGAGAAGGGAGTGCTAAATGGGAAAGGCGCAGAGCTGATAATGAAACCTTAAAAAATGCTGAGTTTGAAAATGAGCAGTTTTAGGAGAGTGGTCTTCAGACTAGACCACGTAAAGAAATAATGTCAACAGCTACAGGCAGCTTCAAGTTCGTTTGGAAGAGTGCTAGAAAGACAGTAAAGCTCAAGCACCACCGCCAGAGAACAGCAGGTCGAGAAGGGCTGGAAGTCGGGGCGATGAAGGAACCTAAAAAATACAGGTGACAGGCGGAGCTGGAGTTCTGAGAGGCTGCAGGAGCCGGCTTTGCGCGGACCGAAGAGCAGGGCCAGCCTAGAGGAAATCCTGCGCAGAGCGCCCCTGCAGCGAGGACGAGAAAGGCTCGTCTCACGCGTCCGACACTTTCGCCAGGAGGGCAACGCGGACACCGCCGAGTCCCGGGCGGACCCCGGGGCCGCAGGCCCCGCAGGCACTCACCCCACGGCCACGCGGCGCCAGCGCCGGGCAGGCTGCACGATGAGGGCGTCCCAGGCGGCCACCAGCCGGCCCTCGGGGGACACGGGTCCCGGGAAGACGGGCGCGGGCCCCAGCCGCAGCGAGCTCCAGAACGAGCGCAGCGCAGAGCCCGGCAGCTCCGGCTCCAGCAGGAACACGCAGCCCACGGCCAGCGCCAGGAAGCCGGCGCACGCAGAGCCGCGCCACATCGCCATGTGGACACGCCGCCGCGCGAGTGGCAGCAAGCTTTCTCGGCTCGCGCCTCCTCCCAGCTGGGCGCGTGCTGACGTAGCACGCGTCGGCGTCACACCCGCGCGCCGCAGGCTCCGCCCCCAGACGGCGGGGCGACTGCTCCACCCGGCTGTGGGCGGGGCTGTGGGCGGGCTGTGGGCGGGGCGAACGGCGCCGGCGTAGGGTATTCGCGCTGTTCACATCCTGGCGCTGGGCGGCGCTCCCGAGCAGTCCTGACCCTGGATGAACAAAAGCAGTGGTGTGGCCCCAGTCCTTGCACATCTTCCCGAAATTCACCTGAACCCCGAGGGAGAGTGGGGGAATACGTTGACTTTCCGAGTAGGGTGAGGCCGGCTGATAAGGAAGAAGCAGGCAAACCTCGCGATTACGTAAGAGTCAGTCGGGCTTCCAGGGATACAAGCCTCCCGGTTCTCTCTTAAGACGTCCCTCCGCAGTGTCCGCCCTCCATGGTTTACCATTCGTTTCTGGTTCTGCTAGAGAGAGAGAGAGAGAGAGAGAGAGAGAGAGAGAGAGAGAGACAGAGAGAGACAGAGAGAGAGACAGAGAGAGAGACAGAGAGAGAGAGACAGAGAGAGTGTGTGTTTCTGCTACAGTGTGTGTGTGTGTGTGTGTGTGTGTGTGTGTGTGTGTGTGTGTGTG